GATTTTTTTTAACTGTTATCTTGAGCCTCAGGCAAATGCCAGGGCTCAAAAGCTGCTTTTGTTTTTGTTGCTTCATTTTTTTTTTTTTTTTTGGTCATGGGTTTAACCAGCTAGCTGGTGCTGTCCTGCTGAGGTAGGCCCGGCCCCCCTCTAGACCCTAGTGTATTCTCTTCTGCTACATTCGTTTTCCAGACCCCACTGAGGTCCAGGGTGCTAGAGCTGACCAGTAATCCTGACTAGTCCGGAGGTAGAGAAAGAAGGCCATTAGTAAGTTACAGGCCAGCCAGGGCTGCAAAATGAAACCTTATCTTAAAAAATGATAATAAAATAAAATTAGACTGGAGAGATGGCTCATATGTGGAAAGCAGTTGTTTCTCTCATAAAGGATCCAGGTCAGCTCCCAGTGCCTACATGGCAGCTCACAGCTATCTGTAGCTTCGGTCCTAGGATTCCAGGGCTTCCTCCTGACACCTGACGGCACCAGACACACGTGTGGTGCTCGCCACACAGTCAGGCAGAACATTCACACACATAAAATTAAATATATATGCATTTAAAAATCAAACAAAACAAGGCTTCAGATAATGCCTTTGTTATTGTCCAGCTTGATAACCCCCCTGCAGTATACTAAATGAACTTTTCTTTCTAAAAACAAACAAGCAAATAAGAACCAAATAAAACAAAAATAAAATACACACATAAACTTTTGTTTGTTTTCGAGAGACAGGGTTTCTCTGTGTACCTCTGACTGTCCTGGAGCTCACTTTTTAGACCAGGCAGGTCTTGAACTCACAGAGGTGCCCTGCAATCCACCTGCTGCCTCCCCAGTACTGGGATTAAAGGTGAACACCACTGTGCCTCGCTACACATAAACTTTTAAAATAAAACATAGAATTAGGGAAGGACATGGTGGCACAAGTCTTTAGTCCCAGAACTCTGGGAGCAGAGGCAGTCAGAGCTGTGTGAGTTTGAGGATGTTTTTCTTCTTCTCTTTTCTCTGTTTTGGGAGTGGTGATGGTGTTGTCCTGGAACTTGTTAGTAGAGCAGTCTAGCCTTGAACTTGCCATGACCCTTCCTCTTTAGCTGCCTTAGTGCTGGGATTTGCACACCCCAGGGCATCTCAATCTCATCACTTCTTCTTCTTCTTCTTCTTCTTCTTCTTCTTCTTCTTCTTCTTCTTCTTCCTCCTCCTCCTCCTCCTCCTCCTCCTCCTCCTCCTCCTTCTCCTCCTTCTCTTTTCTTTGAAGGTGTGGTGAGGATGGTGTGAATTCAGATCATTCTGGGGAAGAATACAGACACTCTGGAAAGGGGCTTCTTAAGACCGTCTCTGTATATGCTTTGGCAAAGCTTTCTCTACCGTCTTTCTTTACAAAAGTTCCTGGAGTGCTTGAGAGTCCTAGTCTGAGAAGGCTGTAACGATATGGGGTCCGGGGCCCTTGGACCAGCACTGCCCCATCCGGAGCTCTTGGACTTGCTTATTTCATTATTTATGTTCTGTTTGTTTGTTTTTCTTTTTTTCTTCATTTAAAGGCAGGGTTTTGCTGCCAATAACAACAGTCTGAAAGACAACTTCCTTGGGGAACCATGGAAGAATTTTAAGCAGGGAATTGACATAATTAGTTTTTTGCTTCAAAGATTGCTTTGGCATCTGGGCACACTGCAGAGGCTAGATAGAAAGGAGTCAAAACTGGAGACCCTGTCAGATGGTGGTGGCGGGCACTTAGATGGAGCCAAGCTTCTTGGATTGCAGTACTGTCCTGGCCCCCTCCCTCCCTGGAAGCTTCCTGCCCACCCTCGCTTTAGAACCCCTACCTATAGCGATCTTTGTCTCCTTTATTTTCATTTTACAAATTTAATTCTCTGCAGAACCTGTTGTTTCTTCAAGTTTGTTTCTGGCTAATCCTATCTTGTCGTCTACATCAGTTTTGGCTTTGTTTGTTTGTGACGGGGTCTTGCTGTGTAGTCTCACTGTGCAGGCCAGGCTGCCTGACCCTCGCAGTGCTCCTCCTGCCCCTGTGTGTCGTACACTGCTACCATCCTTAGGTGTTCCTTCTTGGACTCTTTCAACTGGCCTTCCTCTCGCCCTGTCGTCGGCCAATCCCTCGTTGTCACCCTTAGCGCCTCTTGTTTCTCAGGAAATATCGCAGCTCAGGCAAGAGAGTAGTTTTGTCTAATTTTCCCCCAATTTCTCTTCCTATATAGCGTCTTTGGCTTCTCTAGGAAGTGCTAAGTAGAGCAGAAGGTTAAAATAACATCTCCATTCTCTGGGAGCTACTGTTTCCTTTGCTTCTTGCCCTGTGGGCCGTTTGCAAACCTAGCAGGGTTCGATGTGAGGAGACACCTACCCCTTGGCCCTTACCACTTCTTCTCAGGGAAAGACTTTTGTGAAGAAAGCAGAATTTGAAGTGGTATAGAATAGAAACTCTAATAGTATATTTTGGGTGAGACTTTTGTGTCAGTGCTCCCCAGGGGTAAAAGCTGGCAGTGTGTGGTTGTGTGCCTGTGATTCTAGCTCTGAGGTGGGAACAGGAGGAATGTTTCAGTCACTAGGCAGCAAGTCTGGCCATTTGTGAGCATCATATCCAGCGAGAGGGACAGAGGAGGACACTGAGTGTGGACTGCTGTGCTTTATGTTTTTTTTTAAATTTTTTATTTATTATTTTTTTAATGATTTATTTAACTTTATGTTCATTGGTGTGAAGGTGTCAGATCTTGTGGAACTGCATTTTCAGACAGTTGTGAGCTGTCATGTGGGTGCTGGGAATCGAACTCTGGTCCTCTGGAAGAGCAGTCACTGCTCTTAACCGCCGAGCCATCTCTCCAGCCTCTATGTTTTGTTTTTGTATGTACACATACATGTACATACCTGAGAAAACACAGCACATTGTGTACACAATAAATAAATAAACTTAAAAATCCCATTAAATCATTTAACTTTTATGTCTGACTCCTTCAACTGTCTAGTATACACAGCCAATTGGAAGGAATAAAGAGGGACCATTCTCTATGATGCTTGAATGTTTAACCCTTAAGATAACGTCTTGTCCTAAGTACTGAGAGTAACACCATGTCATCTTGGCCTTTCTGGGTAACTGTGGTGGCTGTTCCTCACTGGGATTTGCAGATGTCATCCCCGAAGGACTGTCTGGGACTTGGTGGCCATGACACTGTGAGCCCAGGAATCAGCAGAATTTCTGCCAGGAGCCTCACCTTGGGAAGCAGGGAACAGGGTTCCAGTTTCTGTTTCACCACTGAAAGCCCTTTGGGATGGGAGGGGAGGGGAGGGCGCCTGTGTGGCATGTTTCCTTTCGGTTATTTCTAAATAGGAGGATTGGAGCCATTCTACCTCTGGCGTTCTGTGACTTGTCCAAGTTGTGGCATGTTTAACCCTCTCTTGTGAGAACAATGATTCGGTTGGCTGGTCTGGAGTTAAAAGAAGAGGCATTGTGTTACACACATGTCACACCAGCATTTAGGAGACCGAGGCAGAAGCATTATGAGTTGGAGAGCAGCCTTAGCTATGCATTGGCACCCTGATTCTAAATAAACAAGTAAGTAATAAAACACAAATAAGAGAGTTAAGAGCCATTTTCTTTGAGTCATGTTCTTGCTCAGGCTGTCTCTGAATGCACTGTGTAGCCCAGGCTACTCAAATTCATGGTCATTCTCCTCAGTCCTCCCAGTCCTGAGATGACAGGCCTGAGAGCCATGTCTTTTCTTGTCCAGATAGAACATAATTCCTTTACGCCAACGGTGCTGGCAGCCTGGAACAAGAGTTCTCTTGCCACCAGGGCTGGCTTATCACGTTGGTGTTCACTTTGTGGATAAGGGTTTTCAGCAGTACGTCCCTCAGAGGTAAGGGCGGAAACAATTATCTTCCTTCGCGCTGCCTTTGAATAAAATGACTCGGTCCTTAATTTCTACCCAAGCCACTAGGTGTCGCCTTCATCTCAGAGAAAGAGTGTGGCTCCTCAGCCTGCATTCACTCGCTCTCTGCTGGGGAGCTTTTAGCTTCTTGGCACAGTAAATTCTGGAGAAGCGGCTTCAAGGGGGAGAGAAGCTGGCTGTCAGCACCAGGGAGGATGTGTTTATGTGCGTGTCCTTTACGACAATTTGAGAACTCCCCAAGGTCCCATAGCAGTCCCCTCGGCAATGATGTCATCCCTCACAAGCTGTTCCTCCAGATGGGGTCAGCACTCCAGCCAGATGTGAGGTACCTGGAAGAACTTTCTTGTTAGGAATCTTAGGAATGGGGTGGGAACCAAGGTGGGGTCCAGTGACCTTTCATTGCTGGGGCCTGTTGGGCTTAGCCAATCTATAAGCTCCCGTGAAGTGTGGCTCAACGAGACAAAAGGGACAAGGCCCTGGAACAGATGGCTGGTGGATCCAAGAGGCATAAGAATGGCCAGGGAGACAGAAACAGAGGGGAGAGTTGAGTCCTCAGGAAGAGGAAGACTAGCGGACTTCATAAAGACTGGAGTCCTTCATAAAGAACGGAGTCCTTTGGTACCATGGGGGCCTGTCTTCCAGCTGCCCGAGCAAGCGGTCCTCAGCACTTAGGAGATGGGTAGTTTTCCCTACCTAGAAATAGATAAATGGATACCCAATGTTTGGGGATTCCTGACAGCTTCCTGGAGACTGGCGCGTCTGGGGAAATTTGATTGAGCAAATGGACCCTAAGAAAAGCGGGGTATTTAGCCGGCCTGGGAGAAGACAGGCCCAGGGGTCCTTGGCATGAGTGAGATGGAAGCAGCCCTGTGGACAAGGGACTTGGGGAAAGCAGAGGAAGGCCTTTACAGCGTGGGGACTCCCGGGAACCTCGGTGGCCTAGAGGCCCCGGTGCTAAGCCCCCCCCCCCGCCCCGGGCTCTCACCGGGTGGTTTGGGGACTGGGAGGTCCCTGGGCGACACGCAGGGGTGAGGGGGAGGCAGCAGCCGCCGGAGGGTGGGGCCGGGCGGGGAGGGGAGGAGAGGGGAGGGGAGGGGGAGGGGCGGGGTCGGGCGGCCTGCCGGGGAAGTCACACTCGGCCGCCGCCGCGGGCGCAGCGAGCGGAGACGCGCGGGGCCGAGGCGACCTGACCTGGACGAGCGGCGCGCGCGGGGGCCCAGGCTGGGGGCGGGAGGCAGCGCCGGGCAGCGCGGGCCACCGGGCCCGGGAGAAGCGGAGCCGAGAGGAGCGGGGCACACACGGGCGGGGCCGCCGCAGCTCCGGATGGGACCAGCGTCTGGGCCCGTTAGTCCAGGCAGGAGCTTCGGGAGAAGCCTTCACTGGGAGAGTCACCCCTGCCTTTCCCTGCCCTCCGGCCCAGGCCTCGCTTCGCTCCCTGCCTGCCCATGTCCCAGTCCTTCCGCGGCGGGCTCCCTCCCACCTCAGCCCGGGGCTCCGGCTTTTCGCAGCTCTTTGCCCTCCCGGCCCGGTCAGCTGTGAGGTGCCCCCAGGCCGTTTCTTTGTACCAGCCTCCCCCAAGTCCCCACCCCATCCCAGTCTTAGATCCCCCCTTTCTCGGTTTGGGATTATCAGGCCACTTCACCCCTCACTGTCCTCATCCCGGTCGCAGGCCCCCTTGGTCCCTTCCTCCTTCTGCCACCCTGTCCTTAGTCCTTGGTCCTTGCTGTAGGTTGGTAGCCCACTCCTTCCCGACCCAGGCTTCCCCCCATCCCCTTCTTGCGTGGTCCCCAGCACTTTCTGTATCCGGGCCGACTAAGCTTGTCCCAGTTCTCTTCCTGGTCCTCTTCCTCAGGCTCCAGGCTGGGTGGTGCTTGTGTCTGCCCAGTAGGCCAGAGCGGCCCCTGGTTCGGAGGGCCGTGGGTCAGCTGCGCTATCCCCATGGCACTGCCATCACTGCTGCTGGTGGTGGCAGCCCTGGCAGGTGGGGTGCGTCCTCCGGGTGCGAGGAACCTGACGCTGGCAGTGGTGCTGCCAGAACATAACCTGAGCTATGCCTGGGCCTGGCCACGGGTGGGTCCTGCTGTGGCACTGGCTGTGGAGGCACTGGGCCGGGCACTGCCCGTGGACCTGCGGTTTGTCAGCTCCGAACTAGACGGCGCCTGCTCTGAGTACCTGGCACCACTGCGCGCTGTGGACCTCAAGCTGTACCATGACCCCGACCTTCTGTTGGGCCCCGGGTGTGTGTACCCTGCTGCCTCTGTGGCTCGCTTTGCCTCACACTGGCACCTTCCCCTCCTGACTGCGGGTGCAGTGGCCTCTGGTTTTGCAGCTAAGAATGAGCATTATCGTACCCTGGTTCGCACTGGCCCCTCTGCTCCCAAGCTGGGTGAGTTCGTAGTGACATTACACGGGCACTTCAATTGGACTGCTCGGGCTGCCTTGCTGTATCTGGATGCTCGGACAGATGACCGGCCCCACTACTTCACCATCGAGGGTGTCTTTGAGGCCCTGCAAGGCAGCAACCTCAGTGTGCAGCACCAGGTGTATGCCCGAGAGCCAGGTGGCCCTGAGCAAGCCACCCACTTCATCAGAGCCAACGGGCGCAGTAAGTGTGGCCCGGACTGTTTTAGGAACTGGGGAGGAGGGTCACTGTGTCCTTGGAGCACAGCACAGAAAAGTAGAGAGAGATTGGCCTGGAAAAGTCACATGTGATGGTTGGGATGGAGGTGCTTATGAGAACAGGCATCCGCGGTAGGGTCTGGGTTAGGACACAGGGCCTTTGTATCATAGACACAGGTCAGGGAAACTGAGACTGGGACTTGGGAGTGAAGAGTTTGGGGAGGCAGTGTGGGTGGCTTTGAGTAGTGGATATGGGCGGTGTCTACCCTGAAATGTGCACCTGCCCGTGAGCAGAGACTCCGTGTAACATAGGGATGACTCTATCGGTTTGGTGCTCAGCAGATTTGGTTGGGAAAGCTGGTAAAGCTCACACAAAAATAGTGAACACAAGAGCCTGTGCTCCTAGTGAGAGGCAGGCAGGAGAGGAACATGGGGAGCTGTGAGGTGGGGCAAACAGCTCTGGGGGGAAAGGAGCCATCACTCTGGAGTGGGGGGGAGGAATCATCACTCAGGAGTGGTGGGGGGGAGCCATCACGCTGGAGTCGGGCTTTGACTTTTGCCAGATGGTCCATGTGACCCAAGGGCACTTAGACATGAGCTCGGAGAGGGGGAGGGTGGGAACATCTGTTGGGTGGTCGATAGGTAATGGGGTGATGTTCCAGAGAGGGGCTGTCTCAGGGTGCCCTTCTGTCATGTCCTCTCCCAGTTGTGTACATCTGCGGCCCTCTGGAGATGTTGCATGAGATCCTGCTTCAGGCCCAGAGGGAGAACCTGACCAATGGGGACTATGTCTTCTTTTACCTCGATGTCTTTGGGGAGAGTCTCCGAGCAGGCCCCACTCGTGCAACAGGCCGGCCATGGCAGGACAATCGAACCCAGGAACAGGCCCAGGCCCTCAGAGAGGCCTTTCAGGTATCTTTGGAACCCAAGCTAGAGATGGGAAGAGCCCCTGGTTGGTTGGAAGGTCTGTTTCTCATAGCGCCCTACGGAAGCCCCAGGAACAGGGCAGGGCTTGTGAGCTATGGAAGAGAAGTGACCAGAAAGTTTCTATGCCTGGTGTCACTCTTCCTTCCCCCGATTTGTACACTGTTACTTAGTGTGCTTGCCAAGACTGAGTTTGGCCACGGCCAGACCTTAGGGTGCTTTCCTGAGTGCCAGCAGGAAGCTAGGAGGCAGGAAGAAAAAGATCTGCGCCTTGTCCCAGAAAGGGCTGCCATCCTCATGGGACAGGCAAGGTGAAATTACAGCAGAGTAAGTGGCAAAAGGAGACAAACTTGTGCGTGAAGCTGATCTTGAGAGTCAGTGGTTAGGGAGGAAGGGTAGACATGGCTGGGATAAGGAGATTAGACGGTTGTAATTTTCAGGGCAGATACCATATTCACAGAGTGGCGGGACAGGGCTTCAAAAGCCTGTGCAAGGGAAAGACAGGAATTTGTATATCTTTGACCTTGTAAGAAACGAGGGTTCACCTTAAAAAAAAAAAAAGGTTTTTGAGACAGGGTCCCACTTCTGCCTTGAATTGTTAGCGCCTGCCTTCCAAGTACTGGGATCATAGGCATGAGCTTTAAAAAGCGTTGACTTAAGCACGTTTCAGAAATCAGGTGACAAAGACATAGATTAAAGGGACTTTGAATGTTAAGGACTAGGATTTGAGTTTTTGTATGGCAGTAGAGTAGAACATAGTTCAGGTTGCGTTAGGAGACAGACTGTAGGTTGTCAAGGAATGAGGAGATACGGCTTGAATGAGGACATGCTAGGAAGATTGGAAAGAAATTAATTTACAAAAGAACTCGCAGAGGAAGTCGGTGTTACTGTGCGTTCCCCACCTCGCCCCCAAGCTTTCAACATCCTGCTCCCTACAGAATAAAATCCCAACTCCTTACCGTGATGTGCAAGACTTGGTAGTTAGCTTTCTGCCTGTCGTTTCAGTGGGGCTTTTGACGCTGAGAAGTCCTCCTGACTAAGCCCTTGCCTGCCCAGGCCCCCATCCTCCTGCCTCCGTGCACTTTGCTCCTTCTGTCTGCCTGTTTTATTTCTTCTTCCCCCATTCTGAACCTCCTGAGATCATGCCCATGACTCTCTGTCTGGTTCCTCACCAGTTCTTACTGATTTGTGTATGGAAGTGTTCCCTATTTATTTATCCATAGCCCTCAAAGAGTATTTGAGGTGGCTTATGGAATGACCTTAGGATCCTTTCCACTCTGGGATTCTTTGGGTCTAAGGAGAGTGTACCGGGGCCGGGCCTGGGTGGCCATTCTTCTCCGGTGAGTAAGGTTTTATGTGGCTGTGATTATATATTTGGTTGTGACTGGTGAGCGTGTCTGGCTGTGAATGACGTATCTGTTTGCATGCCTGAGTCTCTGGCTCTCATCCTTGAGCATGGGCAGTGATAGGACGGGTTTGGTTTATGTTGTAACTTTTCCCGAAGACAAGGATCTCACCTGTGTCTGTACAGCAATTCCGTGTTCTGTAAGACTCAGAGCAGCCTGTGGCCTTCTAAGATACTATTCCTAAATCCCAGGTTGAGCCGAGTTTCTTAGTCTGCCAACCACAAAGCACATCATTTAGTTCAGGTTTGAGTCCTTTAGAGACCGACTTATTGTTAGTATTCGCTGTCACCTGACTGGCATGCCCTACAGAACATGCTAGAAGCACTCTCTGTCTTACTGGAGTTTATAGTTAGTAGGCAAGACGGACAAGAAACAAGCTTATTCATTGACGCTAAGGATTCCCAGAAGGAAAGCAGTTGAGTGGTACGAGGAGAAAAGGGACTGGGCCTTGGCTAGTTCAGACAAGGCAGGGCTACACCTTTCCTGGATGATAGAAAGCTACAGTCCTCTCGGTAGGAATTTCTGTTTTGCTTTGTTTTTCTTTAAGTTCCAGGGTTCAACCTAGGGCCTTGTGCTCACTAGACAAGTACTCCGACCACTGCACTACATCCACATCCCTGGGTGAGCCTTTGTGGGAGAGAAAAACCTCCTCCTCATAGGAGAATTCGCAGCAGCCAAGAGACCCCAGTACTTAAGAGTGGGGGGAAAGGTCGAGTCAGCTATATCAGTTAATTCTTTGGTTACTTCCCTCACTGAAGACCTCGTACAGACGGGAAAAAGAGGAAGATTCTTGCTATGACTTAAGATAAAGGAAACGGGCACTGAAGAATGAGCCAAAGGGAGAGCAAGGCTGGTGTGTGTGGGGGAGAGTGAGGAATTTCAGGAAAACTTCTCTTGTCCATTGCCAGGACTGACTGACAGAGGGGAGGGCAGCATGGCGGTCAGTGGTCAGCTCTGGCCAACAACAAAGAGCAGTGAGCCCTTTCTCCAGAAGTGCTGGTCCACTTGGGTCTCAGACCAGGCCAACCCTAAGATGGGGGATAAGGCAAGAGTCTTTGACTGTAGATGTTCAGAGCCTTTGTAAGCAGCTGAAACACCAAGGCAAAGGTGCCAGTGCAGTCTGGACGTCAGTCACCCAGGGGAGGGAAAGAGCTGATCTAAAGGATGTTGATGGGGTTCTTCTTTCCCATCCAGTCATTGCTGTTCCAGGACAGGGGTTGTGTTCATCTTTGTACCTGCTCAGCCTAGCGTGTAGTAGATACCAAATACATGTGTATTGGGTTAAATTAGCATGTGTATAGGGAAGAGGCCTAGGGATTATTTTAGAAGTAAACCACGATAATTAACCAGGACAGGTAAGCAAAGTGGGAAGAGTAGAACTTAATAAAGCAAGCAGTCAAGTTGGGAGGATTCAGGTTTGCACTGAGCAACTGAGGGTACAGGGTTAGAAATCCTGAACCACGTGTGCCCACAATGGGAAACGCTGGCACTAAGAAGGGAGGGAAGGGGTGTGTGTGGCGACTCTTCTCTGTTTATCTCAGCACATGAGAGACTAAGCAGGGAGGTTGCTGAGCTTCTGAGGCCAGCCTGGGCTACCTGGTGAGATCCTATCTGAGAGCAACTAGAAAGGAAGAAAGCGCTAAGGCCAAAGCTATGGAAGGCAGTGCCCCTTTCTGGAGACTATTCGTGGTTTCGTCTGCCCATGACTGGCATCACTTTCTGCTGTGCCCAGAGCGGGACTCAAGGTGGGTGGTGCACTCTTGGCTCGCCCCCCATTGAACTCCTTATTTTTGGCAGCATTGCTTGTTTAGTTTTCCACTTGGGGGCCACTGTGAATTAGTGGGACTCAATTAGCTACCTTTGCCTTCCTTTTAGTCCCTCAGTAAGTACAGAAAGTGTTTGGAGTTGTTTTTGTTTGGGGTTTGTTTTCTTTTTTTTTTTAGTAGCTAGTTAGTAACCACAGCAAAACATTCTTGAATAGCCATTTTCTAAGTGTGGCCTTTGGATCCTGGGGCCCCAGAAATCCTTTTAGGGGGGCTGTGAAGTGGAAATTATTTTGAAATACTGTCAAAATGTTATTTGCTGTTGTCACTATTCTCCTGTGATTTTGCAGTTGTTTTTTTTCTAGAGGCTGCACAATGTGGGTGAGGTCACCGCTCTGACAGCCATGGAAAACACGCTTGTGCATTCTTGTGTTTTTATAATTTACCAAGCTCAGCTTTAATTTTAACTTCTAATTTGGTAACTATTGATAGATATAAAATTTCTTTGGGGTCCTCAGTAAGTTTCAAGAGGAGAAGAGACTAGCGGCAGGCTTGTAATCCCAGCACCCTGGGTCTGAAGCAGGAGGATCTGGAGTTTGAGGCCAACAACAAAACAAAGCCAAAAGATAACAAAGCAAGAGCTGGAGAGATGGAAAGAGCAGCCACTGTTCTTTCAGGGGACTCAAGTTCAGTTCCCAGCACCCACATCAGGTGTGCGTGCACACACACACACACACACACACACACACACACACACGTGAAGAGGGACTCAGAGATTTTTAAAACATCTTGTTTTTGTCTAAGATAGGGTCTGCCTTGGAACCCAAATTGTCCTTGAACTTTCCATCCTTCTGCCTTAGACTCTAGAGTGCTGGGATTATAGGAGTGTGTAACCTATGGCAAGAAGTTTGATTACTGCCAACTTAGGGATAAATCGCCAACCCGGAGAGTTACGGAGTCCAGAAAGTGTTAAAAACCTCTTCTTAGCCTTTATCGAAGTATGAACCGTGCTGCTCCCGTCTTTTCCAGCTCTTCCCGACTGCCATTCGTCAGCCCTACCACATCTCTATTTTTGGAACAGGTGTCAATGAATGAACCCTCCAGCCTGCCGCTGAGGAGCACTTCCTGTCTCCCCCCCCCCAGCTTCCCTCCTCCCTTTTTCCTGTCCCTCTTTCCCCCTCATCCTTTCCTTCTCCTGCCCGAGAGTGAATGCTGAAAGTACACAGTCAGCATCTGAATTCCCAGTAAGAAAACTCTAATCTAACATAACGAATGCACAGTAGAAACCAACTCTGACTTCATTATTTCCCTCCTGGAGCAAATTGATGCCTGTAGCTCTCATGTGATACATCCATTGTCTATATGGTCTACATGTCCTTCCTGTGATGATAATAAACAGAGCTGGTAGAAATAGCCAGATTTTTGTTCAGATTTTGTTGTTTTATGAAATGGGGTCTTGCTATGTAGCTGCCCTCCTTGGCCTGGAACTCATTATGTGGACAAGGCTGGCCTTGATCTTACAGCTATCTTTCTGCCTCAGCCTCTTGAGTGCTGGGATTACAGATGTGGGCTGCCATGCCTATCTTGAAATGGCTAGGTTTTAACCTGTCACTCCACGTGGTCGTATTTCACAAAATATAGTGAACCGACATCTTTCTTGGAAGTCATAAGACCAGTTTCCTGTCTGAGCAGTCTCGTTTGGTTGTGTGGTCCAAGGCTGAGCAGTCTTGCAGCTGGAGAAGAGGGGATATATGAGGCTCAGAGGAGCTAGGCAGGCAGTTTGACAAGGGATGGAGATGCGTTGATTCATGTTAGTAAAATGCGCATGTGGCTGAGACCACATGCATCAGTTGCTTATCTGTGCAACGTGTGTGGGCATGTAACTTATGTAGCATACACCTGCTTCTTAATGAGCCTGCTGCGTCTGTTAGATGTTTCCTCTATGCACAGTGAATTAAATTCGTGGTTTTCACAGATGGAATCCTTGTCTCAAAAGTATTTCTCACTGGGCTTGAAATCTAATTTACTGAGAGAAATCACTGTGTGCCAGTGACCCAATATGAAAAAGTCAAGTTGTTATTGTTTTGTTGTTTTTGTTTTCGAGACAGGGTTTCTCTGTGTATTCCTGGCTGTCCTGGAACTCGCTTTGTAGACCAGGCTGGCCTTGAACTCACTGAGAACCAGCTACCTTTGCTTTCTGAGGGCTGGCATCAAAGGGGCACCCAGAAAGTAGGGACAAAGGAGTTCCCGTGAGTGTGGTAACCTGGCAGGAGGCCTGATGATGGAAGGGAGGCAAGGAAGCTGATGGGCTGAGTTTGTGGATGGAGTTGATTTCATTCTGATGCCACGTCTCTGGGACCAGCCTATCAGTCTCTCATACAGGGGAGCCACTACCCTCCAGCCCCCCCCACAGTTTAGTCCATTTCAGCTGCCAGACTCCCCTGTGCATGTTTTATGTGTGTTTTGCCAAGTTTTCCTAGAATGGTTTCTTTCTCTCACGCTCAATTTGAATCCCATTCATTCTCCCCATGTGCCGTGGTGCAGACTGTACTGGTGATCACATATCGAGAGCCCCCAAATCCTGAGTATCAGGAATTCCAGAATCGCTTGCTGATCAGAGCCCGGGAAGACTTTGGTGTGGAGCTGGCCCCATCCCTGGTGAGTAGATCTCTGAGAGTCAGAGCAGGCTATGAGGAATTCATCACACTAGATCATAGAGGAAGCCCCACTTTGGGCTCTCTCTTCCATCCAGGGTATTACCTTTGTTCCCCAGGGCCGGGTGGATAAAGATGGCACCATAGGGGTGAAAGAAGGAGAATAGGAAGCTGGGAAAGTGGAGAGGCAGAAGGACACTGCAGGGGTGGGAAAGGGGACTGGGACGGGGCCTCACAGGACATTTGGAGAGTGTGCTGAGCTTGCTTTCCCGCAGATGAACCTCATTGCTGGCTGTTTCTATGATGGGATCCTGCTCTATGCCCAAGTCCTGAATGAGACAATACAGGAAGGAGGCACTCGGGAAGACGGACTTCGGATTGTGGAGAAGATGCAGGGGCGAAGATACCATGGTAATGAAGAGGGGCTAATGGAGGCCTGAGGGCTGACACCAGACTGAGGGGTGAAGTACACAGGAGGGGAGACACCAGGGACTGCAGGGAGAGTCAATGGGTGTCGGGGACAGAACCACGGTGCGGGAGAGACTCAGACAGCGAGATTGGGCGGCAGGAGGTGGACGAGGGGACCAGAGGAAGATCTCAAGTGAGGGGCATTTTTTTTTAAATCTTAGGTGTGACTGGGCTTGTTGTTATGGACAAGAACAATGACCGCGAGACTGATTTTGTCCTGTGGGCCATGGGAGACTTGGATTCTGGGGACTTCCAGGTGACGGGGAGAGGACAGGGAAGAGAAAGAAAGTGGCCCTAAAATCCAGTGGGGACATAATCAGTGGTACTGGGGCAGGAGCTTACTCCCCCTGCTGGACCCGAGTCATGGTGGGAGTCTCAGGGAGGAGGCTGGGGGCAGGCCTGTGGGCCCAGTGCTCTGCTTCCTCACAGCCCGCAGCCCACTACTCAGGAGCGGAGAAGCAGATCTGGTGGACAGGCCGGCCTATTCCCTGGGTGAAGGGGGCCCCACCTTTGGACAATCCCCCCTGTGCCTTTGACTTGGACGACCCATCCTGTGATAAAAGTGGGTGTGTGCAGGGACTGGGAGCAGTCCCCCCCTTTTACCCAACCCCTGTGCTCTGCCTCCACTGACACCCACTCCCACGCCTAGCTATATTCTATCTTTGCGGCTCTCTCTCCTTCCTTCTTTCCCTCGAGAAAGCTGTGCACCCCTTGCACCCATGTCTCCTCCCCCTCGGCTCTTTCCAATCTTTCTCAGGGTCTCTCTCTTTCCTCCTTCAGCCCCCCTTTCCACTCTGGCGATTGTGGCGCTGGGCACGGGAATCACCTTCATCATGTTTGGTGTTTCCAGTTTCCTAATTTTCCGGTGAGTCTGAGGTTTTCCTACTCTTCACCTCCCTCCTTCCTCACTGCCTCTGGCTGAGGTCAAGGTTCCCTGCTATGTGGGGCGGGAGTGGCAAATCTCCTAACCTGGTGCGGGTCTCTTGGACTAGCACCTTCCTCTCCAGCCTTTTCATGGGTTGCCCTTCTTCGTAGATGTTTATTTTGCTTTTGTCTGTAGCCTGGGTAGACCAACAGCTTTACTGAGACAAAGTCTTGCCAAGTAGCCCAGGCTGGCCTCAAACTGAAGGTCCTTCTCCCTTGGTCTCCTGAGTGCTGGGATTACAGATGTGTGCCGTAGTGCATCATTTGAATACTGAATGTTTTTGTTTGTTTGAGACAGGGTCTCATTGTAGAGCCCTAGCTGATTTGGAACTCATCACGTAGAGCAAGCTGGCCTTGAAACTCTCAGAGATTTGCCTACCTTGGCCTTTCAAGTGCTGGGATTAAAGGCATCCTTCACCTAGCCCAACTATGAATACTGATTTTTAAACTATTTTTATTTATATATCTCCTGTATGTCTATATGACTGGATGCCACATGCACGCATAAGTGCCTGTAGAGGCCAGAGGCCATCAGAACCCCAGAACTCTGAGTTACAGGTGGTTATAAACTACCCGGATGGGTGCTTGGAATTGAACTTGGGTCTGTAAGAGTGGCAGGTACTCCTAACCACTTGGTCACCTCTCCAGCCCTTGAGTACTGATTTTGAGTAGAGTTAGGATCAAAGATGAATTCCTATGCACTGACTGTCCCTGGCTCCTTTCCCCACCCCACTCCTGCTAATATGCGACAAAACATTGCACAGTTCTGGATATTTGGGAAATCCACGACCAAGTCACCAACACATTTTCTGTGTGGTGAGGGTGGAAAGTAGTGTTTCACTGTGTCTTCACATGGTGGAAGACTGGAAGCCCCAGTTTATACAGGTTGGGTGGGGATGGAGCTGCTCTATGGTAGAACTCTTTTGCCTAGCATGCTCAAGGCCATAGGTTTGACTCCTACCCTGGAAGAAGGAGACCTCTCTCCTGAAGAGAGAGGAGAGGCAGGGGACATAAGAGGAGGGGGGAGAGAGAGAGAGAGAGAGAGAGAGAAAGAGAGAGAGAGAGAGAGAGAGAGAGCGACAGCTGTGTGTGGTGGTACACATCTGTAATCCCATCCTTTGGAAGGCTGAGGAAGGAAGAGCATCATGGGTTTGATGCCTACCTGGACCTTTTCTCAACACCAAACCAAACCATTTCCCTCTACACTGAGTGTGGCGCGTGCTTCCTCCTGTCCCAGTCCTGACTCTGCCGTAGTAACAGTTGCAGCTCCCTTGCAGCTTTGTGGGTGGCAGGACAGGGCTTGGCAGCCAACTGAGCTGTGCAGTTCTTACAGGAAACTGATGCTGGAGAAGGAGCTGGCTAGCATGCTGTGGCGCATTCGCTGGGAAGAGCTACAGTTCGGCAACTCGGACCGCTATCATAAAGGTGCAGGCAGCCGCCTAACACTGTCGCTGGTGAGTCCCTGGCTCTCCTTCCTCTGAGTTCCTGTTCCCTGTTCCCTCTTACCCTGGACCTTCCCTAGCACATTGGCTTGTAACGACAGCCACTTGCACTACCACCACCATCTAATGTTCCTTTCATCCTTCCGCCTCCATGTTGCCCTTGGCCCCAGCGGGGATCCAGTTACGGCTCGCTCATGACAGCCCATGGGAAATACCAGATCTTTGCCAACACCGGTCACTTCAAGGTGAACAGTCATCTGCTTCTTCTGGTTCCCAACCATTTCATTGTGTCTCATGCCCATCTGCCACCTCTGCCCCTGAACCTCTGGCCTCCCATAGTCCCCTCTCTACACCCAGCCGAGCTCGTGGATGCTCTCAGTGCAACACTCCTTCTGATGCTCATTCCTTTTTCTGTCTCCACCCCCACCTTAGGGAAACGTCGTTGCCATCAAACACGTGAATAAGAAGCGCATAGAGCTGACCCGGCAAGTTCTGTTTGAACTCAAGCACGTACGTAACTGGGTATGAGTGGAAAGGGAGGGTCCATAGGGAAGAGGAAATGAGGAGACCATGGAATGGCCAACTGGCTAAGAGGGTAAGAGGCTTGTTTCTCACGGGTTTCTAGTTGTAGGTGTAAGTAGGAGAGAGGGCATGGCTCGAAGCGGTGTGCTTCTCTATGTTTCAGCGCCATCAGTTCTTTCCTTCTCGTTTCCACCAGATGAGAGACGTCCAGTTCAACCACCTCACTCGCTTCATCGGGGCCTGCATAGACCCTCCCAACATTTGCATTGTCACAGAGTATTGTCCTCGCGGGAGCTTACAAGTGAGGGGCAGGTGTAGGAGATTGTGGTGGGGTGGGGAGGTCCCCAAGTCACATTGTGCCTAGTGATAGCCAGTGAGACTTAAGACAGATACTGATCTCTTCCATGTCACTTGCCAGGACATTCTGGAAAATGACAGCATCAATTTGGACTGGATGTTTCGCTATTCACTCATTAATGATCTTGTGAAGGTGAGTCTTCTCCAGCCCTTCTGCCCTCGCCCACTAAAAATGCCTCCATTGCTCAGTCTATGCTCAGTTCCTCTCCTAGGCCTTGGGCACTCATGTGTGGTTGAGTGACAATGGGTAAACAGGGGTTCTGGGCTGCAGTTGGGGGAGTTTGGATCTATCACAGCAGTCCCATACCCAGAGAGGGCTCTTGTCTTCCTGTCCCAGGTATCTTAAATGTTTCCTCAGTCTCTCTTCTACCTCAAAGGGAGGATATTAAAACCCCTTAGCTATAGTTGGGCATGCCATCGTATGGGAGGTTGAGGCAGGAGGAATGCTGTGATTTTGGGCCCAGCCAAGGCTTCTTAGTGAGTTTCAGGCCAGCTTGGGCCACAGAATAAGATCTTCTCCAGAAAAAGAAAATAGGCAAACAAAACGATAAAAAGACATCCCACAGCTGGGTGCAGGCAATGCATACCTATAATCCCAGTACTCACTGAGACAGGAGGATTGGGAGTTCAAGAGCAGCCTGAACATCATCATGAGAATCTGTCTCAAAATAAAATGAACAGAACCAAATTCCTTGAGCCGTAAAAGGACAATGAGGTCTTCAAACCCTTTTTATTTTACGCTTTGACCAATATTTGACTGTCCATTCTTTAACTGCTAAAGCATGTCTATTCTTTAACTAACATATCTAAATTTAACTGATTTTTTTGGGGGGTCTGGATGATGCTGTGTAGTCCTGGCTAACCTGGAACTCGATCTGTAGAACAGACTGACCTTGAACTCAGAGATCTGCCTGCCTCTGTCTCCTGTGTGCTGGGATTAACTGTGTGTGACAACACTCCTGGCTTGAAATCTTTTTGAGACAGGGTTTCGTGTTGCCCAGTCTGGCTTCAAACTTACACAGACAGAAATTGCTTTGAGTTTCTGACTCTTCCGTTTTCTACTTCCCAAATGCTAATATAGGTGCATAACACTATACCTGTTTAGAGACTGAAATTATAAAAAATATATATGGATGTTAAACTCAGAGAGATGGAAGAAAAATTGTACTAACTCTTTGTTTCCATTCCGATGCTCAGTTATGACCCAGAGGCTCACATATGACCCAGTGTTGCATGGGTTAGACAGGTGTTGAGAAGCAGGTTTCAGAACCCATATGCCCACTAGTGAGATCACCCACCTGTACCTGACTCTGGTTCTAATCCTAAATTCTCAGAAAGTTTTTTTTTTTAAATTAATTTATGCACACGAAAGCTTGCCATCTAGTGAGAGAGAAATATCAGGTAAAGCAATGTAGTTTTCAGCTGGAGATGTGACGATAAACAGAGGAGAAGTGACTCCTTTGCAGTTTCCACAGCAGGAAACTCAGCAGCTTAGGATGCCTAAAGGTGTCTTGGTACTGAGAGGACTACAGAGGAAGAGTTCGAGGCCAGAGCCTATCGTTTACGTGGACTCCGGTCACCATGCCGAGCCTTCTATTCCTAGGGTGGGCTCCCAGAGCTTCTGTCTGGGGAAGCACTGTCCTGTCCTCCCAAGACCGGCCTTTGAATTCCTGAGGGCAAATGTCTGCCTCCAGGAAGCCATGCTTCTGCCTTGGTTTGGCGTTATTTCCCTCCTCTGTCTACTTTTCAGATTTTGCCGATTTACTGCCTTCTTTGCTACTGTCTGGTCTAGCATTCCTCTAATAGATCACATTCCTCCCCCACCACAACCTGCTTCCTACACAAAGCTGCAGACTAGACTCCCAGCTGGCTGGTGTGCTGTGGCGCCTCTGGAGGCTAGGTCAGAGTTATGCTGTGTCTCCCTAATCAGTTGCTGGGCATGTGAAGCCACTCTACGCGCCATCCTAGTTTCGGCCGTTCCCTTCACTCTTCAGAAGATTGCCATTTCCAGGGAAACAATTGGGGTTCTCCTTATCCCCACCCCTTGAGCCTGAACACCTAGATGCTATTTACTGTCCTAGGAAGGGGTGACTCCCCATTCCTCCGTCTTCCTTGAGGGACATCATCTCAACTCAGCTTGTTTTTACTATCTTAAGATCCTTCCATTTCTAATGAGTTTTGGTTAGTGGTCTGAATATCTTTATGCAGTTAGCTGGACCATCTCACGGACTGGGGTAGCCTAAGCCACACATGGTCCAGACCCTTACTCTGTATCCTGTAGGGTATGGCCTTTCTCCACAACAGCATTATTTCATCTCATGGAAGTCTCAAGTCCTCCAACTGTGTGGTGGATAGTCGTTTTGTGCTCAAAATAACAGATTACGGTCTGGCTAGCTTCCGATCAACTGCTGAACCTGACGACAGCCATGCCCTCTATGCCAGTGAGACTGCCCCTGCATCATCACTCCCCCTCCCCCACCCTCGCCCCCTACCACCTACCTTTCATATTGCTCTCCAGGCCTTGATCATTTCCTCCAGGGGAGGCTGGGAGAGGTAGACCAGTAGCAGTAACCCCGGGATACCCCCCAAGGGAGGCTGGGAGAGGTAGACCAGTAGCAGCAACATGGGAATGAGCCCAGGTGGAACCCAGGAGCCCTGTTTAGGCAAACTAGCCAGTCTGTTTACTCTTTGCAGAGAAGCTGTGGACTGCCCCCGAACTGCTTAGTGGGAACTCCTTGCCAACCACAGGCATGCAGAAGGCAGATGTCTACAGCTTTGCCATCATCCTACAGGAAATAGCACTCCGCAGTGGGCCTTTCTACTTGGAAGGCCTGGATCTCAGTCCCAAAGGTAAGAATCCGTTGCTAGCTGGGCAGTGGTGGCTCACGCCTTTAATCCCAGTACTCGGGAGGCAGAAGCACGCAGATCTCTGTGAGTTCGAAGCCAGCCTGGTCTATAAGAGCTAATTCCAGAGCACACTACAAAGCTATAGAGAAACCCTGTATTGAAAAAAAAAAAAAGAATCAGTTTCGATTTACACCCTCTTTGGCTAGGGGAATCTTGTTCTTCATCCAAATTTTCTGTCACCCTCAGAGATTGTCCAGAAGGTTCGAAATGGTCAGCGGCCATATTTCCGGCCAAGCATTGACCGGACACAACTGAATGAAGAGTTAGTTTTGTTGATGGAGAGATGTTGGGCCCAGGATCCAGCGGAACGTCCAGACTTCGGGCAAATCAAGGGCTTCATTCGCCGGTTTAACAAGTGAGTGGAGCGGAGGCTCCCAGGGACAGAACCCTTACTGTTCTTAGTGGACGAGACTGGTGGATCCCAAGGGTGGGTTGAACCGGAAGTCCTGCTGGTCTTGAGGACCTCAGAGCAGGTGTCATACCCTGGCCTCCCTGCAGGGAAGGAGGTACGAGCATTTTGGACAACCTCTTGCTGCGCATGGAGCAGTATGCCAATAACCTGGAGAAGCTGGTGGAGGAGCGCACACAGGCATACCTAGAGGAGAAGCGCAAAGCTGAGGCTCTGCTCTACCAAATCCTACCCCAGTAAGAGCTTTGTCCCCCTTTCCAAAACTTCCTTGGGTTCTGCCTCATCCACCTCCTGAGAACTCTTTTGCGATCCTGGGACCCCTACAATGCTGCCTCTTGCCAGAGTGAGCCCTCCTGGCTGCAGGCTGAATGCTCTCCCGCCTGTGTCTTCAAAGGAGCTGTACAGCCTCGTCCCTCCTTCTTAGGGTCCGGTTCTTCCTCGCTCTTGTCTCAGCAAGTGTGCACAGAACAAGCCCAGCTGGAACTGCTTAGCCCCACGTGGGTCCCCTCACAGCTCCCCACCGCTTGTGCGCCCTACTGTGCACCAGGCGGCGTCTTCTCAGCCCCTTTCCTTTTCATCCACCAAAGCCAGCTTTCACGCTGCAGCTTGGCTGGGCTGCAGCCACACACCCTGTCCTCCTCACTGCCTGGAGCTGGGCTGAAGGTGCCCCCATGTTTCCTAGTTCCGTGGCAGAGCAGTTAAAACGGGGAGAGACTGTCCAGGCAGAGGCTTTTGACAGTGTCACCATCTACTTCAGCGACATCGTGGGCTTCACTGCACTGTCGGCGGAGAGCACGCCTATGCAGGTGAGAGCTGGGGGAGAACAGGGGGAGGGACTGGGTGCCCCACTGGACTAGTCGGCTCTAGAGCGCTTTTATCCTTCAGCTAGAGGACGATTAGGAACGTGGACACACAATTCAGAGCCTCTGCTTTCCCATCCTGTTAGGTGGTGACACTTCTTAATGACCTTTATACCTGCTTTGATGCCATAATCGACAACTTTGATGTCTACAAGGTGAGAGCTGGAGCCAGTTTCCTAACCCCCCCATACCATAGCCACTCCACAGTCAATGCTCCCCAAGTTTCCCGCATCCTGGTGCTCTTTAGTGGATTTGATTCCGGCAAACAAGGACACTCGGATCTGACACCTGTGATTCTCAGGGTTCCCTAATCAAAACATGCTTTAGTTCCTTTCTCTCTGGGGCATTAATACAGACACCTGCCAGAATGTGGGCACGGATTGACTGTGGGGTGAGGGGCAGGACACAAATACATGTTATACAGCTCTTTGTTAAAGTCGTTGAGTTGGCTTAATTGTCCTTGGAAGTAAAAATGTACTGGGCTTGAATACTGATTTTCTAGATAATTATGTGGCCTTAGACAGGTATCAGGGTTTCTCTGAGCCTCAGTTGTTGCAGCAATAGATTAGGTGTATGAAAACCAATGGGCTGGTGAGATGGCTCAGTGGGTAAAGGTGCCAAGTCTGATAACTTAGGTTCCTTCCCTGGAATTTATGTGATGGAAGGAGAGAACTGACTCCCATAGGTTGTCTTCTGACTTCTTTGTGTGTGTGCACATGCACACAAAAGTAAATGTGAGAAATAGGTCTTAAAAGTGCCTAACGTTGAGTATGGCATATGGCAGATAAAAGTGCTGGGTGTGGTGATACCTGCTTGTCATCTCAGTATTTAGGAGGCTGGGACAGATGGATCGCAAATTTAAGGTCAGCCCTGGCTACCCAGTGAGACGATATCTAAACATAAATGAGGATATTAAAAGCTTACTCTACCTTCTCTGATGTTTCCCTAACAAAACGGCTGCAAAACCTTTACCCAAATTTATCAATTGCTTTTATTTCCTCCTATTTATTTTAGATGTCTTCCCCCTCCCTGGAGTATTTGTGAACCAAACCCACAGCTTTCTCCATGCTAATCTATTCTGCTACTTGGCACCATTCCAGGTCCTCTTTTATTTTTAAAAAACTCATCTAATTATTATGGAAACCGTTTGAGAGGAAGTTTTAGACACAGTACCCCTCTAATCCCTAAATACTTAGTGTGGGCTCCCTGCAAGCTTCACTGTGCACCCTAGGTTTGGTACAGTTATCAAAGTCAAGTGGCTACTTCTTCCCTCTGACAGACAGGCTGCCTGGTCCCTGTTACTGAGCCTGGTTTAACTTCTTTAAGCCATTGGGTTCTTTAGATTAGGATCCCGCTCCTGCCATTTGTTCAGCAGATGCCCCTGAGTGTTTATCAGGTCCTGGGGGTAGCGAGGAGGAGTTAAGTATTCCCCAACTGATTTCCTCTTATCCACAGATCCTCAGAACCATGGCAGTAGCTCCTAGTCAATCTGGCCAATCATGGCCTCCCAGGCTGTCAGGGTGACTCCTGGCCGCGTCCATCTTATCTCCCTGTCTCACTTCCATCAACGTAGCTAGAGATAATCTCTTAAAAAGTTTTATTGCTGGGTGGTGATGGCACATGCCTTTAATCCCAATACTTGGGAGGCAGAGACAGGTTTGAAATCAAGGTCAGGATAGGTTCCAAAAGCTACATTGAAACCCTGTCTCTGAAAACAAATAATAATAAAAAAGTTTTATTATTTCACTTATCTTTGTGCATCTATGTGAATATATTCCATGTGTGTGCAGTTGCCAAGGGAGGCCAGAAGATGTCATAGCCCTGAAACTGTTACAGGGGATTTGAACTGCTATGGGTGTGCTGGGAACTAAACTCAGCTCCTCTGGAAGAGTAGCCAGAGTTCTAACTACTGAACCTACAGATGACCTTTTAATTTTCCCTCTAAATCAGGTGGAAACCATTGGGGATGCCTACATGGTGGTATCTGGCCTTCCAGGCCGAAATGGTCAGCGCCATGCACCAGAAATTGCTCGCATGGCCCTAGCATTATTAGATGCAGTGTCTTCCTTCCGCATCCGCCACCGACCCCATGACCAGCTGAGGTTACGTATAGGCGTTCATACTGGTAAGGCTGATTCTCACCCACAAGACAAGTAGACAAGTAGGGTCTACTTGTCCAGGTCTCTTCCAACCAGCTTGTTTTCATAGGGCCGGTCTGTGCTGGGGTTGTTGGTCTGAAGATGCCCCGGTACTGTCTTTTTGGAGACACAGTTAACACTGCTTCTCGGATGGAGTCTAATGGTCAAGGTGAGGACATCAGCCTTTCCCTCCAACCCTGACCTGGATCTGTCTTGCTCCTTTCTCCTTTCTGGAGTTCCTCACGTCTCTCAGAGCTGGAGAGTTCTTAGGTGCCCTGCCCTTGGGCATATATTGCCTCTCATAAGTGTGCACTGGGAGGGTGGCTGGCTGGGTAAGGTGTGCATTGGGAGGGTGGCTGGCTAGGTAAGGTGTGCATTGGGAGGGTGGCTGGCTAGGTAAGGTGTGCATTGGGAGGGTGGCTGGCTGGGTAAGGTGTGCATTGGGAGGGTGGCTGGCTGGGTAAGGCACTTTCCACCTGTGCCATTTTTTTCTCTTGCCTTTTTCTTTGACTCTTCTTTCTCCATCCATTCCTGGTCCACACCACCCCAGCTCTAAAGATCCATGTCTCCTCGACCACCAAGGATGCCTTGGATGAGCTAGGATGCTTCCAGCTAGAGCTGCGTGGAGATGTGGAGATGAAGGTGACCGCAAGACATGGGGGAATGGATCATGGGAGGGTGGAAGTGGGAGAAGAGAGGGAGATTAAAGGCACTAACACAGAAGAATCTCAACTATGCTCATTTCTCTGCCTCCAGGGAAAAGGAAAAATGCGAACATATTGGCTCTTAGGGGAGCGAAAAGGACCTCCTGGCCTCCTGTAAACCCCAGCCAGACAACCTCCTGCTGCTGGTACTTTGGACAATGACCACCATCTCTCCATACAACAAAAACAGACATTGTCATGAGATGGAAAACACACACACATACACACACACACACACACAGACAAAAAACAAAAACAAACAGAAAAAAACAGAACCCTGCCATATATGGAAGTCATAGCCCGCTGCAGCTCAGCCTTGTACATATACCTGCCCCTCCCTGGCTTCTTGTAAATATCTGTATCTAGACCAGAATATTTTGTCCAAGTATAAAACAACAACAACAAATCCTGGTGTCTTTATCTGGGGTCCAAGCCATCCTAAAGGAAGAATACTGGTGTGGGCATGGTTACTCACAGATTCAACGAGTCAGCAGCTTCAGGAGGAGACTGCTTTATGGGAAACCCTCACCAAGCACAGAGAAGTAACTCTACCCACACATACTGTAGTATAAACAATAGGAGAATCCGAATTCCCCATCCACTTCCCTCCTCAACCCTTAGTCTGGAGTTGTCCTCGACCCTCCACACCCCTGCCCTTCTCCCTGGCAGGCAAGAGAAGACATTGCACCCATTTGGTGGGGGAAATTCTCAAGTTCGTAAGGCAAAGGATGTCCCAGAGACAAGGGCACTGGTGTTGAGAAGCTGCAGTTCTTCCGGAACGGTGTGTCCAGTGTCCTGATGTTACTGACACCCTGGAGGAGTGTTAGGATGAGGACAGATGCCACCTTTCCCCAAGCCAGAACAGAAGAGCCTCTCTCCCCCACCCAGCACCTAGTCACACCCACACACCGGTAGCTGTGGTGCTCTCTGCTTCCAGAACGTTTCAGGCTGTTCTTGGCGGTAATCATGAGGCTGTGAGGGAAGAGATATTGAGTAACTCCTGGTCTTTGGGGCTCTCTGTCAACCTCTGGGTTTGCTGTTTTCCCAAGTAAGGTGAGTTGGGTTCTCACCTTTATAGGGGCCGGAGGCCCTGTTTGGACCATCTTTGCTGTGTAGTCATGGTGTGTTACTGACTCGGCCTCAAAGAGCTTCCTGGGAGGGTCTTGTTCTGCCTGCGCCTCTTTACTAGGTAGCCCTTGGAGAGGTCAAGGCCAGTCCCAGTTTTCCCTTCCACCTTGCCCTCCCTTTCCCCCTTCCCAGGCTCTCACCAGATCTGGTGGTGCAGGAGCATCTCCAGCATAGCTTCCCGCTTTCCTGTGGGAGGGCAGAAGAGGAGTCTGGTTAAGAAGCAGCTTCAGAAACAGAGTTGAGAAGGGAAATCTTGGGGTTTGCCCTTAGAGCCGCCAAAGGGTCCACAGTCCTGCCTCTTTTGCTGCCTACTGGACTCTTTCCGGCCCCATCGCTCATGCTTCACACCTCGAAGTGGCTGGCAGTTCTTTCTGGGGGGCTGGTATGAGTCTTTCTGGGTGGTGCTGCCAGGCATGGCTGAGTGAAGTTGCATGCTCAGCAGGCCCTGGTGTCCGTGTCGGAAGAAGTAACTCTCAGAGCCGTCTTGCAATCTTGGAACTTGATCCAACTGGTTGGTGGCTCTCTGTGGACCACATGTTAAATGACCATGAGCCCCCTTCCCCTGCTGGCCCTCATTACAATCTATAGGCTTCTCTAGGAAACTGGGGCCCATCTTCAGAAAAGGGGAGCAGGCCAAACCGTCATACCTCTTCCTCCCAGTTGTGAAGGAGGCACCGGCCACGCGGCAGTGTTTTACAAAGAAACTCAGATTTCTCTTCAGCCTCTGGGGGTTTCAATGGCCCCCTTACTCCAGGCTCTGAGACTTCCAGAGGTTTCCAGGGTTGTCGGTGTGGTACACAGTAGCAGAACTGATACCATGTGCTACTATTAGGCAACTGAACTGGTGGGAGGCCTCCGACCCCTTGAGGAATGCTGGAGCTGACCTTATGACCAGGTTCAGAGTCAGCAGGGCCAGGTTCAGGCCCAGGGGCAAGAGCTGGTACAGGGGCAGGCCTAGGCTTATAGGTAGGACCAGTGTCCTTGCCAGCATCAGAACTCTGGCCAAGACCAGAGCCTGAGCCAGAGCAAGGACAAGAGCTGTGAACAGAGCTCCTTCCAGGATAAGAAGAAGCAGGAACAGTGCTTGAGCTGGGGGCTGCCCTACAGGGATTCTGAGGAATGTAAGAAACATAGAGGGGCTGGTAGCCAAACGTCCCATGGCCTATCTGATGGGACCCAGGGCAGGGAACCTCGAGAAGACTGTCGGAAGAAGGCTCTGTGAGCAAAGAATACTGCCCACGAGGCTCTGCACATAATACAGATGGGACAGTTATGGCCGCTAGGGCCGATCTAGGACTGCCACCCGAAGAAGGAATGGGATCGGAAGTGCTCTCCAGTCCTTCGGAGCTGGGCTGTAGACCTAAAGATCTGAAAGAAAGAAATACAATCAAGGTTGTTAAAATCGCTGCAAAGTTAGTCCTTTGACCTTCCTTGTTCTCATAGCCGTGGCTCTTACGGCAGCGGCAGCGGAGGAGAGTCCTCGGTAGACTCGGTCGTCTCCATTTTCAGAGGCCGGCTTACCGGGTTGCCATAGAGACGGCAAACAACTCTAGGAGACTGCGCACAACTAGAGCTGGGCTGACTCGAAGTGGCCGGGCCAGACAGGAGAAAACAAACTCTTTCCAGGGGCGGAAGTCTTAGACTTGGTGCTTTGCGATTGTCTCAGCTACATTCTGCCTCACCAGGGCTTTTAAAGTTCCACTAGCGTGAACCCTCGCCTCCTTGGCCAACTTGATTCCTTGTGATGGGGATGCACTGGCGACAAGAACAGGATGGACATCGGTATGAACTCGTGTTTGCTTGGTTCATTCCCTAATGAACCAAGAGAGAGAGTGAAGGTTTTTTTTTTTTTATTTTATTTTTTTTATTTTTTTAAATCTTGCTGGGCGGTGGTGGCGCACGCCTTTAATCCCAGCACTGGGAGGCAGAGGCAGGCAGATCTCTGTGAGTTCGAGGCCAGCCTGGTCTAGAAGAGCTAGTTCCAGGGCAGGAACCAAAAATCTACAGAGAAACCCTGTCTCGAAAATCAAAAAAACAAAACAAAACAAAAATCTTATTTAACTATTTAAGGATGCAGTTCAGTGGTAGGAGTGCTTGTTGTCCAGTATACCCGAGGTCCTGGGCACCATCCTCAGCACAAAGATATGGAGATAACAGCGAAATTGAAGGAATTACGGGACAATAGGCAGGTCTCTGTCTTGTCGTCCAGGCAAATTTCTACTGCTATTTATTTATTTTTTCTAGGGATTTGACCTAGAATGAACCACTAGAAACTAGCAGAGCTGCACTATGTACTCCTTTATCCACTGCCTGAGCCATAGGATTTTTTATCCTGACCCTGGTCAAGAGACATCACAGCCCCGAATCAATTTTCTTTCACCTTTGTGGTACAAATCTGTTATACAGTTAAGACAGGAATGCAAAATCAAGGGAGAATGGTTTATTAATGTCACAGGAATTCTTTCCCTTTTCTCCACCCAAGCATCCAGGTCTGTGATCCTGGGTCAGCTGGCAGGTTTAGCCAGGCGGCCACTGCAGCTGTCGGCCTCCGAGGACGTGAATGTGCAGGTGATACACGGACTGCGCACCCATCTTCCCATCGTTGACCACTGGAATGAGTTTGCCGCCAGGGATTGGGGTCATGGGAGACGTCAAGGACTAAAGATCACCTTGAGAAATGGGGATTCGAGGGGAGAAGGCCAAAGGACAAAAATCACTCACCAAGTCGATATCCATCTTTCAGACCCTCTGCCTTTGCCATCTTCTTGGCCACAAGGAGTAGATGTCCTAGAAGCTATAGGGAGACGGACAGGGGTCGCTCCCTTCACAGGAGTCAAACCTCTAGCTTAATCCAGGGCTTCCCCCCAAACAGGCCCCTGGCCCTGTTCTCCCCACCTGCTGGTCTTCTTCTTCAGCCTGGCTAATTCGAGGAATGGGCTTCTTAGGAATGACCAGGAAATGCACAGGAGCCTGAGGGGCCACGTCACGGAACACCAGACACTGGAAGCAGTGACAGGTGAGAGATCACTGTAACTTCATTAGACCCAAGGGCACCTGTGAAACTCTCAAGAGGGCTGGGCCCTGTGGGGACCTTCACCTGTTGATCTTCATATAGAATGTCAGCTGGGAGGCTTCGGTCCAAAATCCGGGAGAAGATGGTTGGTGCTGCTCCTCCAGGAGCTGCTTTCTGGGCCTTGGCCACTTCACCCCCATCAGTCACACCTGCATTTCCCCGAACCTGAAGGTGGGTGGGGGGAACCCAAGGGAGAGAGCCAGCAGTAATTTTCCCATGCACTTAGTTGGGGCTGAAAGGGGCTGGGCTCTAAGAGTGTTTCTAACTTCATTCTTCTAAGAACCTATTAGTGGTTCCACTCTAGGGCCAGTCCCTGGATTTCAGAGCCTGAGCAGTAAAGGCTGGGCCAGATCAGATGATGGTGGGTCCGCTTACAGAACACGCAGTAATTGCTATGTAGGATGTAGGAGTGCAACTGATTCCTGCAAGTGTGCCTAAAGACATCCAGCACTGTACAGGTAAAAGGATCCAGCAATCTGTCATGCCAGACTGTGCGATGGGGAGGCAGGAGGCTCGGGAACTCCTCATTCTTAACTACATTTAGGAAACTCTAGGCTAGTGTGGGATACATAATACACTGTCCCCATAAGCAAACAATATTGAGGTCTCAGTTCCTATGCTACCACTGAATACATCAGATAAATCCTCGAGAGCTTCAGGAATGGTTGAATCCTGCCCTAAAGAGAGCCTCAAGCTCTTTACCTTGTTTCCACTTATTTCTACTGTGCGTTTTCTGATCTTTAAGCCTTGCTTCTTGATTTATGTTTTAAGTGTATTTGTCCTATCTGACATTGGCTGATCTCTCATTTGGGTGTCACATTTGATTCTTATTTTGCAGCTGTTGTTGCTATGCAGGCCAGGGGGTAACCCTGCCTCCTCAGGCTCCTAAATGCTGGGATTGCCGTCATGTGCCACCATGCTCCGCTTCTTTCACTGGATTTTAATTCTAGTAATTTGAATCAGCGGAGTCATGTAAGAGTTCAGCTACGTGACCTCGGGTCTGTCAGAGGCGATAGGAGGCAGGGCGATCCCAGTTTCTCACCGGTTCGGAGAAGGCCGGTATCAGTGTGTTACACTGAAGCGAAACTGTGGGATACACTGAATCACTGTTGGAAAGTGTGGAGGATCAAAGAGCATTGCTGACGCGCATTGTAGGGCTAGAGATCCGAGAACAGGCTAGCTCCCGAAGGAGAGCTCACTTCCTGGAGTAGGCACAGCAGAGGCAGGCCGAAGCACGCTCCGGGTCAACACCACCAGCTCGGTCCCAACCGGGAAGCCCCGGCTGTTTGGGGAAGCGGTCGCCGCCAGACCGCTTCTCTCGCGGACTCGACCGCAGAGTCCCTGAAATTGACCCTTGGGAGAGTCAGTAACTCCGCAATGATGCGCGACGCGCGTGCTGGTCCCGGAACAAGCCAGTGCCTGCGAGCCCCCAGATCCCTCTGATTGCTTCTCACCTGCGCCCCCCGGGGCCCCGCGGCCGCCAGGGCTCTGCGCGCGGTGCGCAAACCCACTGCCAGCAGCACGGCAGCAGCCATCTTCCCGGAGCCTGCGGCCTTGCGGGTGCAGCCCATTGGCCGCGTCCGCCTGGGGGCGGGTCCCGCCGTGCAGCTCATTGGCTGCCCCTGCTAAAGCAGGGCCAATTTTTGTTTAGTGGCATGAAAATTCTTTTTCGATTGGATCCCTGCTTAGTTTCGCTCTGAGATACATTCCCACTCCATTGGAAGAACTAAATATGGGGGTGGGATTTTTTTTGCTAACGGACTCAGGTTCACCACCTTGACCAAGCTTTGGTTGAGGTCCTGAGTGGGTGGGACTTGCCCGCTTTCGGCCTGTCCATTTTAGCTCTGGCCCCCACTACCGGAGGGGGGGGGGGAAGAGGGGGGTAGGGCGGAACCTCGCCACCTGCCGTACAAAAGGCTAAATGTAGTGCAGCCCCTTCTCCGCATTGGCCAGGATGGCGGGGTTCTGAGGACATTCAGAGCTTATTGGCTCCAGAAGTCACATGGGCGGAGCTAAAAGTGAATTGGGATCAAGTTTTTTTAATCTGTAAGGATAGGTTTTAATCTGTAGAATAGGTACCTAACCTTTTCTATCCATTTCAGTCCTTTGACCACTTCAAAGATTTAAAATATATTTAAGATTTTTTTTTAAATTTCGGTCAATTTTATGTTCTTGCTCGCACATCAATATTATGCAGTCAGTTTTCAGGGTATTTTTTTCTCCCTTAAACAGGTGAGAGTAGGCGCATCCTAGGAATGCTGTACTATGTATTAGTTTTTTTTTTTTTACTTCATAAGTGGCGTGTGGTGCCGTTAACTAGGTTTGCTTTGTATATACACATTCTTTAAAACTGTGTCTATGTTTCTGCCTGTGAGGTGTGTGCATGTCGAGTGTAGGTGTCCATAGGTGCTGAGGAGGCACAGACTGGCCTGGAGCTGGAATTACTTGCTTTTGGGAACCACTTGATGTGGGTGCTGGTAGCTGAGTTCCAGTGTTCCCCAATAGCTACGGTATGTGCCTTTAGCTGCTTAGCCATCTTTTCAGCACCTAAAGATTTATGTGTATGTGTGTGGGTATATGTGCAAGTCCGCGCGGGTGCCTGCAGAGGCCTCCAAGAGGATGTTAGATTCCATAGAGCTGGAGTTACATACAGGTGGTTGTGAGCCACCAGGTGTGAATCAAGTTTCCGTACTATAAGAGCAGAAAACTCTCCTAAGCACTGAACCATCTCTTCATTTCCTTATATTTTGAAAGAAGAAATACGGTATTTCCACTTGACAGGCAGAGGCAGAAGGATCACTCAGGAGTTCCAGGACAGCCTGGTCTACATAGCAAGACTCAATCTCAAAATACATCAGTATCCCCTCAAATACTCACCACCTGGTAAATTCTGGTTTGGCACAATAGTGTAAGTTACCCTTATATATTTAGAGGCTGTTTTGTTTTTAACATGTGGCCTGGTATATAAATGTTCAATAATTATTAAATATTTGGTGTTTCACTGTTCTACTTTTTTATATATAGTAATGAATTGCACATTTATTATTCTTATATTTTTCAAATTAGTATAGTTTATATACTTTGCAATGAATTCATACTGTGTCTCCAATGACCTGATCACATTAATTCTTCTATTAATATTTTTATACAATTATCACAGCACATACAACCAGTGTTGAGAAACTTCTGGAATTAGCACTCTCCTTTACACAGTTATATTATTAGAAAGCCCTTTCTTCTTCCCAGGGTTGATATGGGATCCTATGATTTTGCCCTGGGGTCCTAGCAGACCATCCTTTCTTTTGCAAAGACAGATGGCCTTTCTAAATATCAGGAAATGTAATATCACCTTGCCCCGAGGCCTAGATGTGAGACTTGAAAACTGCACCAGAGAAGGGCAAGGGGTAAGAGGAGCTGGGATGAGAAGAGGATGGGATTCTAGGGAGCACTAAGTTTTGCAGCTGGATCTTCCTTTGGGTTTCACAGAGTGCAGGCAACACCGGTTATTCCTGTCTTACAGATCTGGCCACCGAGGCCCAAAGAGTGAACCGAGCATCACAAAGCCCAGCAGTGTCAAACTGTTGTAGGGCCATAAGATCGCCTAGGGAGTTCTGCCACTCCCTGGCAGTCACAATTTGGCGCTGGCTTATTCCTCCTTATTCCACACACTTGCCGTCACCTGCAGCTGCTCTCTGAAAGTTGCCAGCTTTGCCGACCCCACCCACCGTCTCCTTGTTGAGCTCTTATTCCTTTGAAAGCAGCTGTTGCCTGGCATCACGTCCCCCGTCTATAACATCCCTTCACTTCAGGCTTGTTCCTCTGCCTGCTTCTCACTATCCATCAGCACCCATTAGTCTAAATAGTTTAGCCTCTTCTCCAACCAGAGTCTCACTTCCAGTCACACTAAATCCTAGACCATGCACTTGCCATGATCTCTGACTCCCCACATCAGCCTTCCCCAGAGCTCACCTTTCTCTTCCAGTCCCTACTGCCCACTAATCCCTTGCTTGCTTCACAGAGAATACAGATGTCTCCAGAGGGGAGCTTTAGGAGGCCCTACTCCCTGCAGCTCATATTCTCTTTTTTGTCTTAAGAATGAAATTTCTCTGCATCAGAGCAAATACCTTCACCTCTGCCTTGGCCTCATGCTCTCTTTTCTCCATGTCTGAGATCTTGTCCCACACCAAGCATCTCTCCTCCCTTTTGCATCCTTCAAGATCTTTTTGCATGTAGGCCTCTTCCCCCTTTCCTTCTTAAAAAGTTGCTTCCTTGATCTACAGCTTGGGTTTTGTCTGATTTCTTTCTTCTACTTCTTACACAAGCTCCTTGAATAGACACCTTCAAATTAATATTTAGCGTTTACCTCCACCATGCCAGTGTGAAACCACACTGTCCAAAGCCTCCAAAGACTTACTAATTGCAATGTCTTTGCCTTATGGAGCCCCAGCTACCCCTGAAATCACTGTCTATTCTACTCTTCAAACACTCTCCCTCCTTGACTTTCTTGAAGCTCTTCTCCTAGTGAGGGCCAGCAGCTTAAATGTGGCCATGATAGAGGAAGAAGGCTGGAGCCAGCCTTCTTTCCGCTTGATGCTGTCTCTGGCCTGCAGTTAGAGCTGACTCTAAACTGAGTCTTGACGCTAGCTGTCCCATATAGAGCCAGGTCAGAGTCTATTGGCTTCCATTTTATTGTTGATCTTGGCCAGGCTCAGAAAGGCCTGTGCCAGTTGTTGACAGTGTCTGCCCCTGCAGGAGGGAAGAGCAGAGGTGAAAGAATCAGGTATGGGGGTCAGATTTAGGGTCAGGCTGGAGGCTACTTGGGCCAGGGAGTTCAAGGGATCTAGGGTGGGAACTGGGATGGCCAGAGACCCCCTGCATCTGGAGGGCCTCAAGGTCAGAGTTGGTGAGGATGACATCTCGGAGGGCAGGCATCTCTGCAAAAGGCACATAGTCTGCTCCTGGGGATGGAAAGCAGTGCAGGCATGGGATGTGGGGTGGGCTGAGGATGAAAGGCCTGGAGAGGATGGGGGGAAGGGTGAGCATGCCTTTCTGCCTGCCCTTCTGATTATAGATGCTGACAAGGTCCCCTGCCCCGTGTTGTTCCCTCACCATAAGGTCTCCCTCCTCTTCGCCTGGTCTCCTCAGTCTCAAAGAAAGTCTCGTGTTCCTCCCAGCGCCGGTCACAGGCCACACAGAGGAAATTTGACTCAAAACTGTTGCAGCCACAGCCTAAGGCAAAAGCACACCAAGAAGAATATAAGAAATTAATGGCATCCCCACGAGCTGACACATTCTTGCCTCGTCTTCATCCTGCATCTGCTTCTCCCCACCCAAACACCCCTTGGCACTAGAAGTTACCGCGGTGCCTGCAGGGATGCGCTCCGGTGGCTGCATGTTCTTCATGAGTATGCTTACAGCGACACTGGGCTCTCCATGCTTTGGGGTCGAAGGTGGCCCGTCTCTTAAGCCAGAACTCACCCACCTCCTCTGGGCGTGATGGGATGAAACAAAACATGAGGCACCTGCACTGGCTCACGCGGCAGGGCACCGACAGATCTGGGAGAATGGGGAAGGCGAGGCATCAGACCAGCACCTCCTGGAAGGACCTCTTCCCCCTCTGCAGATCCTCCCTGATCCGCGTTCATCTCTGTCTCTCCCTCCGAGACATCAAAGGCTACCGTAACCCCTCCATCCTTGACAAGTCTGGCAACTTCTTTCCTACCTGAGATGATCTGGTGTTCTTTCAACAAATGTCCACAAAAGCACCTGGACTGGTCTCCAATCCGGAAACAGTCCCATAAGTAATGAGGGCAGCGCCATCCAATGTAAAGACCTATATATGGAGGGATTAACAGGGAAGAGTGAAAAAGAAAAAAACATCCTACACTCCCTACAAGTGTTCTGATGGGCTCCCTGGAGTGGGGGTGGGCAACTCACCACCCCACCTTATACCTGTTTCCACTAGGGAGCCCTCCCTCTGGCCCTTAGACTTTTTTCATTAAAGTTTTATTATCTATCCCAAAGTTTGGTCAGTTCCCTTCCTATCCCAGGATGGGCCCCATGTTCATCAGCCTAACCAAGGTAACCAAAGGCAGTCTCCAGTTTCAGAGCAGGCGGATTACAGAAGACATTGTTTGAAGATGAATGAGAGCCTCTGGTGATTGTTAAAGCTGTCTTACCTCCCCTCTCCATGCGAGTTCAACCTTTCTGAAGTGTTTATGGCGAGCAAGGGAGAAGCTAGCTGATCAGGTGGACAGTGGGTGATGGGGATTGGGTCCTGAAGAGAGTTACTAGTGAAGGACCAGGGAGAAAAGGTAGAAGTTGGACAGATCTGGTGCCAAGACGTAGGAGGAAGCCAGCGCTTTTACTCTCTGGGCTGCCGCCTCTGCCATCCCTTCTGTGTCCTAGTGTTATGTAACTAACGCCCTCTATGATCCTGAGAAGGGTGCCTGGTGGCTCTCCAGGGATCAGGAGGAAGGAGCAGGCCAGAAGTCATGGCTGGAAGACCAAAGGATCTAAGCTGTGAGGACTGGAAGGCAGATATGGGAAGGAGAGTGAGGCTAGTACCCTCGGATGCAGGCTTAGCAGGCCGCAACCAGAGCCTGGGTTTAGCAGTGGGGTCTGGAAGAATCCTGCTTCACGGAAAGTCCTATTGCAAGTCAAGGCAGGGCTAGGCAGAGGTGACGGGAGAACTGGCAGCACCTCCTCATCCTCTCATTCCTCACGAGAGCAGAGAGTATTCCAGTTTTGGTTCAGAACCTTGCTTGCGTTCTCGTGGGGGGAGAGGGAGAGGGGGACTGCAGCTGTGGGACCCTGATGCCTGGCAGTGATCTCAACAGAAATGTCACCTCTTCTAAAAGTTATCCCTGGCTTCCCCACAAGAGAAGTGGCTGTATTTTCATCTATATCTCTAATCCTGCCATGAAAGAGATGTCAGAGAAGACAGACTGCCTGATTGAAAGCGAACATGTTCCTTTAGTGCCATAATCCGCAGGTCTGTCCTCAGGCCAGGTGTTCTTATCTTACCCATAGTTCCTAGGGTCTTAAAACCTGTTCAGGTGTGGCTTGTGGCTTGGTTGCTTCTGGTGCCAGAATCCTGCTGTACCCGGAATGTTTGAGAGCACAGGGAGAAGCAAAGTCACAATGAATGGGTGGGAGCCAGGACTCCACTAGAGGAATTCTGAACATTACAAAAGCCGAACACAGTGGCTGAGCAGGTGATGTGCAGATGTGAACCTGGTTCTGCCTGAAGACCAACGCTTGACCAGTTTAAGCATGGATGCGCGAATCAGTGTCTAGCTTTGAATGAAGAGTTTGAATACCTCAGATTCTACTATTCTATTCTATTCTATTCTATTCTATTCTATTCTATTCTATGTCCTTAAAGTAGGGAAACTGCACCTGGCTCTTGGCTCCATTCTCTGATTTCAAACTCCCTTCCTGTTAGAAGTGGACTAATCAGGCAGAGGAGGCATTACCTTGGGTGCCATTCTGACTCAGTACAGCTAGTACAGCTGCATGGCCATGCTTGTATATCAACTCTTGATTTCTAGAAGGTTTCCATACTACATAAGTTGTCTTTACATGAGGGATACCTCTGCATCCTTGACCTCTCCTAGGCCTGGATCACAGGGCCATCTGTTGATGACATTCTCACCAGCATGTTCCACTCAACACCCAGTGTTCGTTCACCTTAAAACCTCTCAACCTTAGTCCTCAGCTCACCAGGTTTCTATGTGCCCCACATCTGTTCTCACTTCATTCAGACAAGCCAAAAACTTGTAATCCTCCTGGCTCAGCCTTCCAAGGGCTGAGATCATAGTTGTGTGCCACTACACCCAGCTTGACTCTCTCCTTACCCTCTCACAGACATTAGCTCCAGCAGTCTTTCCTTCCCATGCCTATGTCTATCTCCCCAGCTGGGGGCCTCTCTCCTCTGTCTCTGTGGGGACTCATGCACATTGGTTAAGGGATCTTTGCTACATATTTTTTTGAGGCAGGGCTTCACTGTGCAATTAGAGGACAAGTTTTATCCTTGAGACCTTTCTTGCCCCACTGCTTGCACAACTAAAAACTCAATGCCTGGCAAATAGTTGGTGCATAATAACTGTTCGCTAAAAGAATATTTGGAAACCTCAGATCTGCATATCACATATATTCTTAGGGAGTCTTGACTCAAGATCTTCAACATTGGAAGGATACGGACCCAAAATATCTTTGTGCAGGACTGAGTACACAAACCACTTGCTTAAGCAGGAAAACACAGACATTTAAAACAAAGAAGAAATACAGAGGTCTTGAAGAGCGAGGAGTGGACAGGGGGATCTAAAAGAGGAAAGAGGAGAGTGGACAGAACCTACATTTGCAAGAAAAAAGTATCAGTAATAGATGTTAGCATAACTAAACAGATTTCACTATCAGTGGAAACTCAGAAACAAATGAGACTTTAAAAAAAAATAGAGATGAAGGGGCGAGGGTCCCTACATGGAGGTGGGGTATGCAAATTACATAAAGGAGGATAAGAGTGCAGGGGTTTCTAGTTGTCTTTATCTCTTAGTCCTGCTGATGTAGTTCCATTATAAGCAGAACAGAAGGTTGAAAAACCTGAGCAAACGCAATGCTTTCTACTGAATTTATCTACACAGTTCAGAATCCTAGAGTATCTGAGTGGCTGTCCTGCTGAGATTAAGAACCCTTATAGATGGTGAAATACACAACACAGGTAAACATGCTTACACACACTGTGCCATGTGTTTACACAGCTCACCTGCACACCCATTTCAGAGATGCAGCCTCCCCTCACAGGACTACCAAGAGCATAGCTTGGGGGGAGGGTGCTTGCCTAGCATACACAAAACCCCAGCACTATGTAAAACCAGCTGTGGGGGCACACACATGTGGCCCTAGCGCTCAGGAAGCAGAAGTAGGAGGATCAGGAGTTCAAGGTTATCCTTAAAGGTCATCAATGACTGTATAGGAAGTTTGAGGCTAGGGTCACGACCTGGATCACATGAGACCTCGTCAAAGGGGGATACGGATTATGAGCAGTGGTTTGAACTCCTCTTTGGTGGGGACCCTCAAGGTCTTTGGATACTCAGACGGTCATGGATCTGGCATGCAGATCCATACATCAATGGAGTAAAGGGACCACAATCTTTTGCCATATCCGTATGAGAACAAGGCTCCTAGAAACTGGCCAAGGTCCTGGGGCCACTCTGTGTTAGGATTGTTCTGGTATATACTATGTGGGTGCTAGATCTGGGGCTGGCCCTCAACTCTTCGGTTGCTAACAATATTAGTTACTTTCGTACATCTATCTATTGCTGCTTGGACTTCATGTGCAATCTCCACTTTTCCTCAGGCCAACCCACCTGCTCCCATTCTAGATTCCAGCCAGGTGGCATGGCCATGTCTACGTTGAAGGGGCAGGTTCCCAAATCTGTTGGATTGGAAGTTGTCCATGGGCCTGTTACAGGTCTCTGGAAGGCCACCAGGGCTCACCTGTCTGGATGGCCTTCAGGGCTGAATCCTTCTCCCATTGGAAAAGATACTCCACTTGAGTACCAAAATGTTCTCTGTGCATTGCCTTAGCCATATCCACCAGCTCTGCCCGCTTAGCAGGGACCACTGGGCGGCTTGTGTAACCTGGGAAGGGAGGGGCTGAGTAACCAGTGGGCAGTGAAAGGACCTTAAAACTAAGAGGAGCCATATGCAAGAATAACCCAGTCCCCCACTTCTGGGTAAGTCACGGGCAGTGCAAGAGTCACAGGGATAGAGGAAAGGCAGGAACAATTACCGCTAACTCTTTTCTCCTTCTTGCTCACACGAGACTCGGGCTTGGCTGCAGGAGCAGAGATGGTACTGGTCCCCACTATTGGCTCCTCTTCCCTTGCTTCCTCCTGCTTTGCAGCTGGCTCTGTATCCGCGGGGGCCTGGCTGGAAGGTCCTGAAAGGGAGTGCTTGGGGATGTGTTCAGATCCAGGGTCCTGGGTCTCTGGGCCTTTAGGAGAAGAAAGCTTACGGGGAGATGCAGGGAGATTGACTGCTGGTGAGAGCTTACGAGACTTTTTTTTGACCTTAGAACTGTGAATCTCATCTGTAAGGCTCTCCAAAGGGATCTCGGCGATGGCTTTTTCTAGAGAGGTCACAGGCTGGGGAGACTTTGAGAGAGTTTCAAAGTCTGGGGCCTCGAAGGAAACCTGGGATGGTGTGGAAAGAATCTCAGTGGTATGGGACTTTAAGGGAGTTTCAGAGTCAGGTGGCCCCAAGAGGCTCTCAGAGGCCTCAGTCTCAGGATTTGGCGAAGCGTTTGTTACAAAAAGGGCGTCGGAGACAGGAAGCTGTAAAGAGGACTGTGAGCCGGAAAGATCCGCGGAAGTTTCAGTTTCGAGACTAGTGGGCTCCCGCAAGTCTTCAGCGGAAGGGTCCTTTAATGAAGGGCGGTTCTCTGCATCCTTGGTGACCTGAGGACTGTCTGTGATCTCATTTGCTTCCATCTAGTGGTAGAATAAGGTACAGGCTTCATTAGGTTGAGGCTGGAGGGTCTGTAAGTCAGGGCAGAGCCCCAGTTTCAGGATGTTAGGGAATGAGGAGAAAATTAATAATGCGCCGAAAACATCGGAAGGAAGGAAGCAGAATTCTGGGTTTCAGGGTGCAGAGCCAGAGGTTCACTCATGTGCCCTCACACAGCATACTACGGTAGGTTGGCAGGGAGCTGTAATTTATTTATTTATTTATTTATTTATTTATTTATTTATTTATTTATTTTGGTTTTTCGAGACAGGGTTTCTCTGTGGTTTTGGAGCCTCTCCTGGAACTAGCTCTTGTAGACCAGGCTGGTCTCGAACTCACAGAGATCCGCCTGCCTCTGCCTCCCGAGTGCTGGGATTAAAGGCGTGCACCACCATCGCCCGGCGGGAGCTGTAATTTAAAGATGGAAAGACAGAAGCAGCCAGAAGCCCATCAGTAGCTGGTAGCGGAGGACCCAAGAGGGAGCCCCAACAAGCTACCTGGCCAGTCCAAAGGCAGAGTCTGAAGCATGTCTTAGGACCCTGGAACTATAGTTATGGAGTGCTAGAGTCTGAAGATGAAGCCGGAGTTGGGAAGAGTGCGGAAAAATGCCACAGTGCTATCCTCCGCTTCTGTCCAGGGACCACGCGCCTCTTCCTTTGGTCTCATTCATGTTCAAGGCTTCAACTACTTTCAGCTACATGCTGTGCGTACATTCTCTCCCTCCCTCCCCCACCCCAAGACAAAGTCTTACTATATAGCCCAGGCTAAGTTTCTATGTAGCCCAGGCTGGCCTGAACTCCTCATAGACCTCCTGCCTCAGACTCTTGAGGATGGTATTACAAAGGCGCATCTCCATGCCAGGCTACCGCTGACTTCTAAGTCCATGTTTCTAACTCAGACCTCTTTTTCCCTGTGTGCTTTGGATGCTTCATGCCAGCTATTTCCAACTGACTGTTCCACTGGCTTCAGAACTGACCTTGGAAATATGTGAGCACCACAGTCTTCTTCCCTAGCGCTCATCTGCAACTAAAACCGAACACTCCCCAAATGGATCCTTTTCTCTCCGTTCCCTCCAATTTGTTCATGTTCTCATGATCTCCCGCCTGACTGTATAATAACATTGCCTCTCTACAGCCTCAATGTATTTCCTCACTCAGTCTTCCGTTTATGAAACTTATATTTTATAAACAGCCTAAACCAAAACTTGAGTCAGGCACCATGCTAGGCATTGGGGCCAGGTGAACTCTGGAAAGAGAGTGTGATACACAGTGACAATGTGAATGGCTTCTCTCCAAGATGCCTAATTTACCCCAGGAAGATCTGAGAGGCAAGCTCTCTGTCCCCTTCCAGCAAGATCTTTTGAACACACAAAACATTCTGGCTCAGCCTAAAGGATTACATTCACGTGTTTTGGACCCGCCATTCAAGGTCTGTTACCATCATGCCTGACCCCCTTCGGGTGCTAAGGACTGAATGATGGCCTTTGTATGCCGGCAAGAAGTGCTCCATCACTGAGCTACAGCCTCAGCCCTTGGTTTTTTTGAGACAGGGTCTCACTCTATAGCCCTGGCTGGCCTAGAATTTGCTCTGTAGACCAAGTTGGCTTTGAACTGGCAGCAATTCTCTTGCCCCTGCTTCCCAAGTACTGGGATTACAGGTCAGTGCCATCACTTGGCTGAAACAGACTGTCATTATCTGTAAGCTCATCATCATTTGCAAGTGCTACCTGCAGATTCTTGAGTTTCACCGTTCCCTAGTGTTCCCCATGCATCAGAGATAGCAGCTATCTTAAGATGTTACATCTTTCTTTCCTCCCTCCCTCCCTCCTTTCCTCCCTTTCTCTTATTTATTTATTTATTTATTTTGGTTTTTCGAGACAGGGTTTCTCTGTGGCTTTGGAGCCTGTCCTGGAACTAGCTCTGTAGACCAGGCTGGTCTCGAACTCACAGAGATCCGACTGCCTCTGCCTCCCGAGTGCTGGGATTAAAGGCGTGCGCCACCATCGCCCGGCTTTCTTTTTTATTTTTGAGACAAGGTTTCTTTGTGTAGCCCTAGCTGTCCTGGAACAAGCTTTGTAGATCAGGCTGGCCTTGAACTCACAGAGATCTCCCTGCCTGCCTCCCAAGTGCTAGGATTAAAGACGTGCACCACCATCGCCCAGCTAAGGTGTTACATACTAAACTCATTAGAGATATGGCTCAGCGGAGGACCTGGGTTCAGTTCCCAGCACCCACATGGCAGCTCACACCTGTCCGTAACTCCAGTCCCAAGGCATCTATCTGATCCTTTCTTCAGGGCTCCAGAGGCACTGTACACCCACAGTGCATAGCCATACATGCAGGCAAAACACATATATACATACAATAAAACTAATGGTAAAAAAAAAATCAATTAAGTCCACTGGAGTCTTCCTAAAGGGCAGATTAGGGAACGGGCAGAGGTAGGATGATGGGGAGAAAGTGGGTGGGTGGGTGGGATAATGATGAAAAGTAGAGAATGCGTGGGGAGGGGCAGAAGGTACCAGGAGAAGGAAGGAGTAAAGGGTTGGGGTGGAGGGCTGTGGAGAAACTACATACCTCTGAGCTTAGGCTTGGTGGTTGCAAGTCCTTAGGTCCTTAGGTCAGGATCTTTACCTGGGTTGGAGGGGGAAGTACTGGTCCTGACTGAGGGAATGAACGGTTTTGCTTTGGATGAGCCAGGCTGTAGTTGCTAAGTGAGAGGTCTTGTTGTTAAGTTTGTTGGGGGACCTGGGCATCTGCAGACCTTCGCAAAGGGACTCTGGCCGGAATTGAGGAAGGACAGTAAAGGGAAGGGACAAGAGAGGTCCAGGGCCGATGAAGGATGTGCTTGACCTCTAGAACCCAGACCGGGAGGGGGGGGGGGGCTGGCATCGATCTCCAGGGCAACCGGAACGCCCAGTAGTCTCCATGGCAACAGTAGTCAGGTCATCTGCGTGGGTGAGGTTTCTTGAGGGGGCTGCTTTGGATCTAGGTGGGACCGAAGTTGAGTGAGTCTTTGTGTAGGCTGTGCCAACATATGACTGGGAGGAACATGTTCTGAGAGGAGCCTGGTTATGTGAGTTTCTGGAAGGTTCTTGTATCATTCTGGCGTTCACTGGATGATGTGGGGACCTAAGAGGTCACCCGAGTTCTCTATTAGGGTGAGAAGAAGGTTCTCAGGTAGGTAGCCCAGCAGGCTTCAGTTAGAGGCCAATAGGATTTGGTGGGGGCGGGCTCTGCGGAGAGGGACCAATCAAATCGGCGTAGGGCGGAGCGCCAGGCGAGCGTCATGCCGAGGACGCCGCGGGGCCTGCTTATCGCCGGTTCAGCGCAGCCCCGAGTCGCCCAGGCCTGAACTCCTACCCAGGTCCCGGTGACGACCCCGGGCCCGCGAGGACGCCGGAGGCCACCCCTCGGGCGTGGGGAGCGGAGCCGCGGGTCAGCTCTGCGAGCGTCCCGTGCTGGCCTGGCCGGCCCCGCCCCCGCCCCGGGCCATGGCCCAGCCCTTGTCCCGGCCCCTCATCCTATCCCAATCTCAGCTTTGGCCGCCGGCCACGCCCTCGCCCCACTTCCCAAACCTGCCCCGGCCCCGGCCAATGTCCCAGCGAATGCCCAGGACCAGGTCCCCGCTCCAACCCCAGTCCCTGCCTCTGACTTGGCCGCTATCTCCGCCTCGGCCCTTGTTCCACCCCTTGTCACAAATCCCAGCCCAGCCTCTGACCCCGTCCCATTCCCAGCGTTTGCTTAAGCCCCTCGCCCAGCCCCAGCCCTTGTTCCCGTCCCCATTTCCCTCACTCCTCCCAGCACATCTTCTGCCCTTGTTTGAGCCCCAGTGCTCAGTCCAACGCAACCCAATATCTCAGCCTTTGCCCCCATCTCTGTGTTTGCCCAAGTCTCTTCCGCTGGCTCCCCGCCTCTCTCATACTCTGCCCCTCTCCCAGCCTCGACTCAGGTCTGGGCTCCAGTTGCCGCCAGCCCTATTGCTGCTGTTGCTGTTTTCTGTCCTTGGTCCAGGGGCTGGTGAGTGCGGAAACAGGAAAAATTGAGATAAGGATGGGGTTCCGGGGAGGGAGGGCTTGGAAAGGGTTGGGAGAGGTGGGACTTGGGGAGCTAGGTCACTGGGGACGTGGGAGGAAATAAGGAGAGAAGGGCTTACACAAGAGATTGGTTTGGCGGACTTCAAGAGTGGTGTTGCTCAGCTGGTTCAGCAGGTGGCTAATAGTCCCGAAAAAGCTCTGCAAGATTTCATTTCTTGGTGTCCATCCTGACCCCTTGGGAAGTCTTGGGGGCTTTACTCCTGCGAAATTCTATGGAGACGACATAGTCCTATAGAATAGACACTTCAGTTCTAGGTCCAGACATGGCCTAAACCTTTGAGATGCCAAGTGCACATTCCAAACAGTCTTGAAGACAATATGTTGCATTGCATAGATGGATGTGGGTTAGTTGCTATTATAATAAGCTTTCTTCTTGTGCTGGGTCTTTCCCCAAGCAAGCGCCACTGGGCTATGGATAATTTGATACTTTTAAAGCATGGCTGAACCTCAGCAGCATTCTACAGATGGGGAAACTGAGGCTCAGTGAGGGCGTAATTTGTTTAGAGTTGTATTGTGTGTAAGTGGCAATAGTGGGGCTAGAAAAAAGGGTTCCTAGTTGCTATGACATACTGGTTGGCTCCCTCCCGTCCCCTTTCTCTCTCTGAATACCTTCCAGGTTGAAGTATTCTTCCATTGGCCCAGAGCATACTCTCTTGTCTCCCTAGTCTGTCTGCCAGGAGGCTTAATTCATAAACAGTTTCTCATTTGTCAGGTGTGTCAGTCTTTATGCGTAGCTTAGGAAGTCAGTTGGTTGGGAGGAGTGGCCCAGCTTCTTAACGGCTAGATAGACCGAGGGAAGCAGAGACTGCTCCAGCCTAAGGGCAGAGATGACCTCAGCCCCAGGCCACCTTTGCTGAGTGGCACTGGGACTGAGCCGTGCTCAACAGTCTTTGGCAGTAACATCTGTGGACGGAGGTGGGTTTCATTGATCTCCGTGGGCTGGCTTTAGTGTACAGCTTGAGGTCAGCGCATCCTGCAGAGATGTGCGGGTGCTATGTACCTGTGTGTATAACAGGAATCTGTGGGAATGGTGTGTGTGCGGCATGTGCTCATGCTTACACACTGGTGACATGTATTTTATCTGAGTGTACACGAGCTGACGTGGTTTTGGAGTGCATACATATGTCATTGTGTGAGGGGCAGAGGACATGTGATGTGGCCCACACACTCTCAGCTTGGCCCACTCCTCTTATGAATATATCGCTGAAGTGCGGCTTGTAGAAGGAAGGGCCCAGGGTGGAGGAATGGACATCCATTGTTGATGACTGCAGAAACAGCTGGCAGTCAGGTTTTTGGTTTTGATGAGAGGAGTTTGCACACACTCGTATGATTTAGGTGGTGGGAAAGCACCTACATGTTATGGTAGAAGGGGCACCAGGACAAGTCCGCTGGGACATGGTTCTGGTAGGCCCTGTTCAAATCCCAAATCAAAGAATGAGGTGAATAGGACTGTTTCCCAAAGATCCACCCCGCTTTCAAACTCCTTCTAAGTTCCTCCCAAGCTCCAAGCTGCCGCTCTCTCCTTTTCCTTCAAGCACATCCTGTGACACCCACAGCCTCCATAGCCTCCGGTTTGATGGAATTGGCTCTGCAGTTCCCTGATTCTCCAGGCCAAGTAAGCTCTTTGTGCTTGTCTGGTGCTCACTTTAGGAGGAGCAGCCTGCCCTAACCCCAGCAGAGGGCACTCCAGAGCTCTTATTGCTTGTAACAATTAGTATTCAGGGCTGCTCAGTTTGGAGGCAGAGCTGTCTTCTCCTTTAGCTAGTCCCCCTGCCCCTCATCTGTTTTGGATACCTCCCCACCACTGTCTGAGTGCAGCTCTGAGCCTTTGGTTGCTGGGCAGTGCAAGCTGGCAGTTTCTCTTGTTGAGATTTGTCTTCGGTTGGCACAGCAGTCTAGTCCTTTGGTGCTGTCATGGCCTTTGAGCCACTCTGGCCGGTGGCTTCTGCTTGTATAAGGTACCTCTGGAGTGTGACTCTTCAAAGGTGCCCCAGTTTAGTGTGGCCAACCTGCTGTCCTTCAGCAGCCTCCCTTTACTGATGCCCCATGTCTCTGTTACTTTAAATACCTCATTTTAGGGGTCATGCTCCCATCTCCAGGAGTAGAGACCATCAGAGTAGGGAAGCCATGTGGGTATTTCTTGTGTTGCTGAAATCTCCCCTTCCAACCTCTACTGTGTCTTGAAGACACCTGAGTCCACCCAGCTTTCCTCCTGTCCAGAGACATATTTCTGGGCTTCTTTGGAACTGTTTTGAAATGGGGGGGTGCAGGCCATTGAGAGAGTAGAGACAGAGAGACAGAGAGGCCATGAGAGTGCTTTATATGGGGACACTGCCTGCATTCTGAGCCACCTTCTCCTCTCAGGTGTATCCTGTTACCTTCACTGCCACGACACTCCTGTCCTATGTGCATGCCTGGCTATGGCCTGTGGCTTTCCTGTCCACTGTGAGCATTTCAGCTAGAGATACACACACACACACACACACACACACACACACACACACACACAGAGAGAGAGAGAGAGAGAGAGAGAGAGAGAGAGAGAGAGAGAGCGCCAGAGAGCCTTGTCTACTCCAAATATTCCAAAGTAATTTAGGGTGCCACTTAGTCACCGAATGACTGCCTTTCAGGACCTCCTCCTGGGAGAACACCCTGGCTACGCATTTTGACCCTAGAGCGTCTGATCACTCTCCTCTCTTGGGCACTGTCTTGGTGGCCTGCCAGCTCCTGTTCTTGACTCTGCCACCCAAGCAGCTCCCTTGCAGCCTCACCACACCTTCCCCTCCCCTCTTCTGCCCTGAGCTGGTATACAGACAGCTCTTGTGAAGCTTCTGAGAATTTTTACTGCTCCTAACCACTGGGGCATAGAGAAGGGCAGAAAACAAACAAGTTACAGAGTTCTGTGCTGACTCCCAAGCCCCACAGGTGGAGTTCTAGCTTGCTCAGTGGCTTAAGAGCCTATGCCAACACACACACACACACACACACACACACACACATGCACACATGCACACACACTTGCACACCCTGTTTTGTTAGGCTTGGTGAGAGGAGAATAATACCTCCTAAGTCAGTGACCTTGACGTTATATTAAGTGTCCTAAATTCTCAGTTTTCTAATTTTTTTGCGATAGGCATTTTTTTAAGATCAAGGTTTTGTGAGGAACAAAGCAGACACTGGCTAGGTTAGCATAAACCCCAGCTCCTGGCTGGTGGAGTGTGCTTGTTGGCTTGGTGCTGTTGGTGAGGAAAATGGGCTTGCAGCCAAGTGAAAATGCCTTTGTCCTCCCTTCCGCTGACTCCTTTCTGCTTCCCAGGAGGCCTTTTCCTGACCGATTACTCCACCTGCTCACCCCGAAAGCTCAGCCCATTTCGCTCCTTTGCCAGCACCGAGCTCTTCCACTTCCACGTTCCTGAGGACACGTTCCTGGCTGTTTGGAACCTCATCATCTTCAAGGAACAGGGAGGAACCTTTGGGGACCACTGCCCAGATCAAAGTGTGACTGTGTGAGTGTTTGATCTGTATCCCCAATTTCCAATCCTAGTTACTTTCCAAACTGGAATATGACATTTTGTGGTCTAAACACGCCCCCTGACCGTGACCTTGACCCTTATCCAGGTTGAATAAGGCCTCCTTGTCACCTGACTTCATGTAACTGCTGTGGATACTTGAACTGACCTATTGCCCCTTATGAACTCCATCTCTTCCTGGGATAATTCTGTGGTATATGTCAGTATAGGAAATCTATTTGTTTACTAGTGATGAATGACAGTTTTTTTTTTTAACCCCTATTTCCTAATTCCTACCCCACTGCTCTTCCTTTCATGTCACCCAGGTATTTCCGCTCTGGAGCGCCCCCTGTCATCAATCCCCTGCATACACACTTTCCAACAGACACGGCTGTGCCTGGGGTTTTCTCACTCACCCTCAGCTGGACACTGCCCAACAGAACCTCAGGCATCTTTAACGTCAGCAGCCCCTTACCTGGGGACTGGTTCTTGGCTGCACACCTTCCCCAAGCCCATGGCCACATCTCTGTCAAGGTGGGTTGATGCTCCCTGGGACAGGAGGAATCATATCTTCCCATCCATCGCTGCTGAGTGCCCGCTGGCATCATAGCCCTTTTATCAGAGAGAGAAACAGCACCAGCATGGCTGGGACGGGACACTATTATAGCCCAGAAGCTTAGCTTGTGGGATGGTCTGTAGTCGAAAACTGGGACATGGTGATTCTGGGTAGGTTGAAGAGAAACTACGAAGTCCAAAATCTGCCGTACAAACACAGCACTGTTTTATTTTTTAATTTTGGTTTATAATAGCCCTGAAACGTCTCTCAGGCCACATCCTTGTCTCTAGCTCAGGCATCACGGTTTCAGGTCTCTCCTTTGCCCTCTGAGAAACCATGAGAGAAAGTTTTCCTAATAAAAGAAGCTTTAGATAGCTGATATCCTTCCCGACCATTACCTTCCTTTCCTCTGAATGTCAGCGTGGACTTTAACACAGCGGAGATTGTCAGTCTGAAGGGAAGGGCCAAAGGTCAGGATGTTTCTTTAGTTTGAAGTGAAAGACAATACCACAATGTTTTCCTGCCACTCTGGTGTGTTAGACAAGTTGGGATTCCTCCTCGGAGTGAGGAAGTACATAGGTTTCCTCCTTCTGCCCATTGCAGGAGAGGGAAGGCGTGGTGAGCTGGCCACTGTTAGTCTGGTGGCCGTGTGTGTGTTGAAGGACAGAGAATGAACAGGTGAGGATTATAGAGTGTTATAAAGTAAGAGCATTAAGCAAGAAAGCCAGTGGTGTTTGGCCTTTGAGGATTAAGAGGGACAGAAATTCCCAACCAGGTGAAAATTGCCTCTGAATTGGCATAGCATCTTGACCAGTCTAGGCTGAGTGTTGTAAAGTCCATGAAGACCTGGGAGCCCTCTAGATGAGAGCATGCTGGGAGATTACCTGTCTCTGGACTCTTGATTCCTGTTGAACTAAGGATTTTTATACTAGGAAGAATGTCTTCATTGATCTTTGGTCAAATCTCAAAGACACTGCCTCTTGACTCAGTCATGATCTTGTCTCATTTTGTAAGAACTGAGGGAAGAATCTTCTAGCCCAGTGGTTCTCAACCTTCTTAATGTTAGATCATTTAACACAGTTCCTTATGTTGTGATGACCTTCAACCATAAAGTTATTTCATTGCTACTTCATAAATATAATTCTACCATTTTAAGTCATAATGTAAATATCTGATATGCAGGATATTTGATATGTGACCCCTGTGGGGCTCGCACTTCGCAGGTTGAGAACCACTGGGCTAGAGGCTTCTTCCTGAACTAGAGTCCAGCTCTCGTTCTAAGTATCATGCTAAGCAAGCAGGAAGCACATGGAGCCTAGACCTAGTAAGGAATGTGGAGCTGAGACCCGGATAGGCGTGGCCAGGATTGCTTGGGGATAGCAGTACAGAGCAAGGCTTCCTAGAACCTGGTGCACGATTCAAAGTGTCTAGATCACTGGGGAGTGAGAAGACAAGCAGGCCTGGTGTACATGTTTCCATCTAGAGAGAATTTTCAGTCCCAGCAGGACTTGGTACTGCAAATAGAGGCCTAGACAGCCATGCTCTCTGCAGTGTGGTGAGACCAGAGAGAAAGGGCACAGTTTGGTCACTGGAGGCTGCAGGTCTGAGCACTGGCAAGTGCAGATCTTTGGATGTGCCTGTTCTAGAGGTTGGATGGGCAAGGATCTTGGATGTGGTTCTTCTAAAGTGTTGATTACCTTCTTGAATCATACATGGGCCTCTAAGGATTCTTTAGCTCCTTGATCCTGGGAAACTAGCCTTCTTCCCTAGTCTTGAGTTTCTCTCCCTGTAGATAACTAGTATCCAGATTTCAACTCCTTCCACATATCATTCTTTCCTCCTTGACTGGTCTTGTCTTGACTCCTGTTGTTATGACTCCTGTGTTTTGTACCAGGCCTTTTCTTTTGGGCCACCAACCAGCTCCCAAATCATGACACAGAGACTTCTTATTAGTTTTGAATGCTTGGCCTATCTTAGGCTCATTTCTGGCTCTTTAACTTAAGTTAACCTCTTTCTTTTTACCTGCCTTTTGCCTTGGGGCTTATTACCTTTCTTACTTCAGTATTTCTTACTTTTACTGTTTCTCATGTCTAGTTGGCGGCTGCCTGATTTCTCACCCTGGGCGTCTCCTTCATTGTCTCCTCTTTCATCTTTTTTTCTCTCTAGATTCCTCCTCCTACTTATTCTCTCTGCCTGTCAGTTCCTCCTATTCCTCTCCTGCCTAGCTATTGACTGTTTAGCTTTTTGTTAGACCAATTAGGTGCCTTTAGGCAGGCAGGGTAAAACAAATACAACACATCTGTACATAGTTAAACACACATCCTTACATAGTTAAACAAATACAGCATAAAGAAATATAACACATCTTTGCCTAGTTAAAATAATATTTCACAATACTTTTTTTCCCCTGATGTTTCTGCTTGATCTGTGTGTGCTGTTACAACCTGAGGCTTGGTCTCAGAAGAACTCCTTTTTGTTTTTCATTCTCTTTTTTGGTGTCTATGGCAGAGTTGTTTTAAATACTGTCTATGCCTCTTTAGAGTAGACAGCCAGTCTTATATTCTTTGAATCTCAAACTATATCTGCAAGCTTTCTTGACACCTTCAACTGCTTCTAAGAACAGTCTCAGGTTTAATATGCCCCAAGCAAAGCAGAGCCCCAAACTCTGACTCCTACTTTACTTCCAGGCTTGGGGGTCTTCCTTCTGGTTGTCTTCTTCCCAGTAGATAGCCACTGCCCACCAGTTGTTCAAGCCTCAAATGTGTCATCACTCTTGAGTCTTACTTTTCTCTTGCTTCCTCATGATCAGTCCCTAAAGTGTGTTCCTCTGCTCTCAACACATCTGCAGATTCCTCTCCACCTAGCACATCTCCAGTGCTCTCCTGTACCACCATAATAGTGACCTCCTGAATGTCGCTCTGCTTCCTCTCCTGCCCCTGCAGTCTGTCCTGTTGTCACTCACTTCTACAATGATTGCTGTTGACTGACTGAGGACAAGAAACTGGGGACAGGGGAAGCCGCGTGTCCTTGAGTATCTTCAGTCTGCAAGCCTGTCATAGTCAGGGTTTCTCCTGCCGTGGAGAAACAGAACACCGTGACTGTAGCAGTGTGGAGAGGAAGGGGTTTCTTTCAGCTTACAGCTCTCAGGTCATACTCCATTGCCGAGGGAAGCCAGGGCAGGAACTCAAATAGGGAAGGAATCTGGAGGTGAAGGAGCTGATGCAGAGGCCATGGAGGAACACTGCTTACTGACTTGCTTCCTCTGGCTTGCTCAGCCTGGTTTCTTATAGAACCCAAGATCACCAGCCCAAGGGTGACCCCACCACAGTGAACTAGCCCCTCCCCCACATCAATCATCAATCCAGAAAATGCACCATAGACTTGCCTACAGGCCAGTCTGCTGGGGCGCATTTTAACAATTGCGCATGGTGACTCGTATCTGTAATCCTGTTTCTAAGAGGCTGAGGTTGGAAGATTGGCATGAGTTGTAACCAGCCTGGACTACCAGGTGAGGTCAAGGCTAGCCTGGACTACAGAATAAGACCTGGTATCCTCTCTAAAGAATAAAAAAGAAAAGACATTCCCTGTGTCCCACAAAATAGGAGGAGTTCCCATAGTCCAAAGCCTTCTGCTAGGCCCTCCACCATTCTTGGTTTCTGCCTCATATTGAAGAAGAGACTGGATGCTGAAAGAACACAGCCAGAGCATGCCTGGTCCTGACCCTTTCCTGAACTCAACAGTAAGCATGGGCACAGTGTTTCTTTCCCTCGGCTGTGAGGCAGGTGCATACCAAGCATGAGACTGCCGTGGATTCCTGTGTTCAGTGGGGTGGTGGACTGGGGGTCCTCTGAAATGTATTGCCAGAGTATTTCTGATCCTTAGGGTTTGGCATGAGAAGTGAGGGACATCTGCTTTGGATGTCAGAGATGGAAAATTCTGGATAATTGTATCACTCAAGGAACTCTCTTCTGGGCACCCATCCTTCAGCTTGACAGCTGTTTTGTTTCCAGCACCTCAGATGTGTCAGGTGGTGTGCTAAGCATCAGGAATGAACAATTAGATGGCAGGGCAGGGCGGCTGCCTCTTCGCACAGCACTGTGGTCAGCCCAGAGCCCAAGGCTGGCCGACTCATGGTGGAATGTCAGGGCCTGGAACTTTCTCCCAGAACAAGGCTTTGGAGGCACATCTTATCAGAACAACCACCATAACAAGCCATAGTCTAGTTTATCAGGCCAACCAAAAGCCTGGTCTACAAGGTTAGCGAAGCCTCATTCAGAGACCCTTAACACCCTTTAGCTGATGGGTTTGTGGGGCATAGAAGAGGTCGCTACTGTGGAAGGAGAGCTGTGACGTTGAGTGACGGGGTTTCTGGGAGGGGGCTCTCACTATAGTAGGATGGGGTCTTGGGAGCTTGTCTAGTACAAGAGAAGCCTTGGGAAGTGTGGTGGCTGTCCAAAGAAACAGTCTGAGGCCATAGGTCAGGTCAGAGTAGCTGTGAGGGGACAGATTTTGGCTTCATAAAGGTCAGTGCTGTCTGCAGCTGGGCTGATTTATGAGTTTGGCAGACATTCATGGGAAGTGCAGAGCATGATAGGCCCGTGTTGGGCGGGCCAAGTCCTGTTCTCAAGTTCCAAATAGTCTGGAGGTTGCTTAGGTAGTAGTCTTCACGGCGTGCTGGAGCAGAGGTCAGACAGACACATGTCAGAAGGGCAGCCTAGAGAGCAGGGACAGTTAAACTAGTGGTGGTGGGAGGGTTAGACCAGAGGCCTAGGAGGAGCTTTCCACGCCCAGAAGAGTCAGTGAGAGTTGTGGGATGGGATGGCTTGCTGTGCAGTGTGTGCGGGGATTGCTGGCTAGCAGTGTACCAAGAGGAGGGCTGGGCTGGGAGAAGGCACAGCAGAGCCACAGCATCAGTGTTGGGTCCTTGAAGACCCAGATAGAGCAGAGGTGACCAGAACGATGGGCCTGAGAGCTAAGGGGATGGCTCAGGGGGTAAAGCACTTGCTTTACAAGCACGAGGACATGAGTTCAGACCCCAGAACCCACATAAAGCTGAGTAGCATACATCTGGAATCCCAATGCTTTTCTGACAAGATGGTGGTGGGGACAGGAGACTCTCCAGAAACTCACAGGCCAAGCTGGTGGGCCAGCTAGCCTGGATCATACAGCTGTAAACAAGATGAGGCCTGCCTCAAGCAAGGGGGAATGAGGAGACAAATCTCAGGTTCCCCTCTGCCATGTGGCTGCACTAAAGTACATGAATACACACAAATAAAAAGGCATTTCTCCTTTGAAGAGGCTGTTCCTGTACTTGGTATGTCTTTCTTCAGAGAATCTTTTCCCTCAACCCTTGTAGTTAAGCCCGTTCTAAAATATTTTTAATACAAAACTTAATAAAAATGACTACTCAGGTAGGAAAAGTTCAGAACTTAGCTCCAGAATGGGAGCCCTGGGAACTGGAGGATAAAAGGGTTTTTTCAGGACCCCTCTAGCAGGTTATGTTAGCCTTGGTTTGGTAGTGTCCCCACTGTCTCTCCTGCTACCCCTTTTTGTTTCAGGGTCTCCAGGACGAGTGTCAGTACCTCCTTCAGCCACAGCTGATTGTCCGACGTTTGCTGGATGTGGCTGTACTGGTTCCTGGCCGTCCCTCAGAGCAAACCCTCTCCCCTCACAATCGTTCAGCCTTGTATAAGTGAGTAAACACTCCAAACCTGCCCTGCCCTTTCCTCCTCTGGTCTTACACAGGGATCCATCTTGCTTTCCTTCTAGCCAAAGTAACCCAGAGTCCCCAGGGTGGGTCCCGTCCAGTCTCCTCTCCCCTCACACCGAGGAAGATCTGAGCGGGCCACCTGTTCCTTCCCTTTCTTCTGTTTCTCTCTCATGTCTCTTACCTCTCTGTCTTTTCTTGCCCCCAACCTGTCCTCTGTTCAGGGTCTTTGTGCCCAGCTTCACTTACAGGGTTTCAGCACAACTGGTGTGTGTAGGGGGCCGAGGGGCATCTGCCTGCCCCCTGACACTGCACCTACGTCCCAAGGCCCCACCACTGCACAACTCAAGCTCTGTGGCCTGTGGAGGTGCCTCAGTATGCCAGCTGGAGTTGGCCCTGCCCCCCTGGGGGCACTGGGTCTATGTGCGTGTGGAGACACCATCCCGCGGCCCTGGCAGGATCATCCGCTTCCAGCTATGTGTACGGTTACAAGGTCAGAGCCCCTTCATCTGCCTCAACTCCCAATCTATGCGGGATGTACCTGGGGTAATCTGGATGGCTATGTTCTGAGACCCTCAACCACATCCTTACAATTTCCTCTACCCCACCCAGGTTCCTTCACACTCCTGAGGTCCCATCTCCTTGGAACTTCAGGTCATTGGGTAGCCTTCATAGTGTGTCTTTGTGCCTGACTTGGGACAACTAAAGGCTTTCTTTTTCCTTCCTTCCTTCCTTCCTTCCTCCCTCCCTCCCTCCCTCTCTTTCTTTCTTTCTTTCTTTCTCCCCCTCGCTCTCTCCCTCTCCCTCTCCATCTCCCTTCCTCCCTCCCTCCTTCCCTCCCTCCCTCCCTTCATCTCATTTTCAGTGTCCTGGGGTGGACAGAGCCAGCCAGGACTTGAGGAGCTGCTCTTGCCTCAGTGCTCACAGTCATCAGGACAGTGGCCTCCCGTTAGCTTATAGTACAGTGTTTTCACTGCTTTGAGGAGGACACGTGTGATCTTAATTCCTCTACTCTGACCTTGGGGAGGGACAGATGACTACAATGTAGTGATTGAATCTCTATGACAATTAGGAAACATCTGGACCCTGTGCCATGGTCTCGATGCCTCCTTTCTCCAGGCCCATTCTATTTTAGTTTACATTCCTTCCTCCCCTTTGCTAGCTCAACAGGAGTTGGGCTCAGTTCTGGTCTGTGATGGGGCTATGGGGCTGTATGGACCTCATGTCTCACTTTTGGTTTCTTCTCCTTCACAGAGTGTCCACAACCCAGCCTGTCCCGTGCCTTGGTCCCTGGGGCTGCCATGAATATGCCCCAATCACTGGGCAACCAGCCACTGCCCCCAGAGCCACCATCCCAGGGGACCCCTGTAGAAGGGTCTGCAGCCACATCGCCACCTGAGCACTGCTGGCCAGTGCGTCCCACTCTGCGCAATGAGCTGGATACCTTCTCTGTCCACTTCTACATCTTCTTTGGTCCCAGCGTGGCTCTTCCACCTGAGCGCCCAGCTGTGTTTGCTCTGAGGCTGTTGCCAGTGCTGGACAGTGGAGGTGTCCTTAGTCTGGAGCTGCAGCTCAATGTGGTACTTCTTGGGAAGGGGTGCTTCCCTGTTGGGGAGTCTGAAGGAAGGTTGCAGGCGTGCAGGGCCTTGCCTCCTTCTGGCGCTCTTTCCAGGTTGCTTCTGTGCTTTGTTCTCAGCCCCCACTGCCTTGTGAGAGCAGCGCCAGCCAGGACACAGTGGTCCAGGGTTCTAGTTTGTGGGTTGACCTGTTAGAGGGCTGATCGCAATGGTAGTTCATTTCTGTAACGAGAGGCCATGCAGTTTGTGTTCAGACAGCTCCTGTAGCTAGTGGCATTCCCAATAGTATACTAGGACTGCTTTCCTGAACTTCACCCACTGACTTTGTTCTGTCTAGACGCCATATCTAGCAAATCCGTGTGTGTCCTTGTTTGTAGTAATAGATTCTTTTAGAGAAGTTTTAGATTTATAGAAAAAAATGAACAGTGAGTAGCTGCTTGGGTCTGAGCTAGCTCAGAGGATAAAGTGCTTGCCTTCCAAGCACACACCTGTAATCTCAGCACTGAGGAGGTGGAAACAGGATAGTCCCTGGGCCAGCCTGGCCTAATTGGTGAGTTCCAAGTCAAATGAGAGGCCATGCTTCAAAGACAAGGTGGATAGCATTTGAAGAATGTACTTAACATTGAACTTTGGCCTCCACATGCACACACCTGTGCCCACACATACATGCACACACAAAGACAGTACAGACCCCGTTCATTACCATGTATCACCTTAATGCTGTGCATTGGCTACAATGCTATGCTATTTTAGCAGCCCTTCAGCTGTTTCCATCGCTCTCTCAACAGCTGAACCCCTTCAGTGTCGGGGACTCCGGTGTTAGACTTCCCTCCACCCGACACTCATCTCTCTGTTCCACTTTGATTGGCCATCATGTCTCTGAAAGTGATAATCTGCACTGGTATGACCAGTGTGGCAGGCAAACTATTTATCCATTTATTTATTTATTTTTCAGACAGTCTCACTAAGTAGCCCTGAGGGCCTGGAACTTGCTATATAGACCAGGCTGGCCTCAAACACAAAAGATCTGCCTGCTTCTGCCTCCTGAGCATTGGGATTAAAGGTGCACATCCACATCCAGCCAAGCCTTGACTTCATACATCTGGAGAACAAGTGTGTCTTTTAGCTGTTGCATTACACTGAGGATTGTGGTGGACTAAGAACCCTGGATCTTTTTCATTTCTTCCAAGTATTTTGATCTTTCCCCTGGATCAAGGACTATGTACCTGGGGACTGCTTTTGGCTATTCCTATCTCTTTCACTGAGTAGTACTTCTGCATATTGCCCTCCCGGCCTTCCACTGAAGGACGTGATAAACCACTCTTGTGCTTGAGGACAGGTGTACGTATGCAGCATTGTCTGGTGAGAATTCAGCTGAAGAAAGGCGTGTGTGGTGGCATACACACATGATCCCAGCACAATGAGGCCAGTCAGAGCCTGGGTCAGTTACATATAGTGAGTTTCAGGCCAGGCAAGCCTGGGTTACATGAAATGCTACCTCAGAAATACCAAAAGTAATACTAAGAATTTAGCTGAAGTCCACCCTGGAGACTCCAGTGAATCCAGATGTGCTCACAGATGAGGAGACTTATGGGGCGCCTTCTCCACTTTAGTCAAGTACATAACTTATGTCTAGGGACATCCTTATTTTTCCAGCCTGATTTGAAATGTTCTCCTAAGCCTTTATTTTTATCTTAATTTAATGTGTCAGGCTGCCTCAGATCTTTCTTGAGATGAATTTGTGGCGTCCCATTCCTCCCTCAAAGACAGCCACCCCTTACATCCACACCTGCGGATATCTGTGTTCTTTTCACCCCAGTCAGATTGCTCCATTTAATTAATCTCTCTGGCTTTAGCTCCCTCCATTTGTACTTGGGATCATTTCACTTGAGGAGTACATTTTCTTAATAAGCTTTCAGCCACAGGATTAGGGGACTGAGAACCTTAAGTTACCTTCATCTTTTGCTGGTATCTACGCTGGGCATCAGATAGGATGAACCAAGGTGCCTTCTCTTCCAGAGGGAAGATTCAGAGTCAGGGCTTGCTTTGTTGTTAGACTTTGAGAGTCTGGCTGTGAGGATCTGATGGATCTCTGGCTCCTACTGAGTAAGAGCACAGCTTTGATGGATTGATCCCTGGAGGCGTGGGCCCACCCAGAGGAGAATGGGACTTCCAGCCTTAGGGAGTGGGAGAAGTGACAGGTCTGGGGTGGCCCACCCCAAGGGTCTGACAGCCTCATTTGCATCTTCACCCTGCTCAGAGTTCCCTGCACCAAGAAAATTTAACAGTGTTCGGATGCCTGACTCATGAGGTGCCCTTGAGCCTGGGGGATGCTGCTGTGACCTGTTCCAAAGGTGGGGATGGAAATGGGGAATAAAGGGAGGCTGGGTTCCCGGAAGTGGGTTCTAACTCCGTGCTGACCACTTCTCTCTCCTGGGCCCATGCTTTCCCCTGTAGAGTCCCTCTCAGGTTTCCTCCTCTCAGTCAGTGTCATGTCCAGAGTGGCCAGACTTCGAATTCCTTTCCCACAGACGGGGACCTGGTTCCTGACCCTCCGCTCTCTTTGCGGGGTGGGACCTCGGTGAGCAAGAGCAATAGGGGACACAGCTGGAGCTGGGTTGGGGATGGCCCTGGCCTCAAATAACCAGGAGCGTGTATGCTCGCAGGTTCGTGCGATGCCGCAATGCGACGGCTGAAGTGCGGTTGCGCACCTTCCTGTCCCCATGCGTGGATGACTGTGGGCCCTATGGCCAGTGCAAGCTGCTGCGCACCCACAACTACCTGTACGCGGCCTGCGAGTGCAAGGCTGGTGAGCGGGCTTGGGGGGAGCAGGTCAGGCTTGGCTGTGCATGGTGAGTGGGCTGGGGGGGAGCAGTCAGGCTTGGCTGTGCATGGTGAGCGGGCTGGGGGGGAGCAGGTCAGACTTGGCCTGTGCATGGTGAGCGGGCTCGGGGGGGGAGCAGGTCAGGCTTGGCTGTGTATGGTGAGCGGGCTCAGGGGGAGCAGGCTGGGGGGAGCAGGTCAGGCTTGGCTGTTCATGGTGAGCAGGCTGGGGTGGGGAGCAGGTCAGACTTGGCTTGTGCATGGGGTGGCCAGCAGGGGTGCCTTCTGCCCTCCTCCACCCTGTACCTTCCTTCCCTCCTTGCAGGGTGGCGAGGCTGGGGTTGCACAGACAGTGCCGATGCGCTCACCTATGGATTCCAGCTGCTGTCCACACTCCTCCTCTGCCTGAGCAACCTCATGTTTTTGCCACCTGTGGTCTTGGCCATTCGGAGCCGGTACGTGCTGGAAGCTGCTGTCTACACCTTCACCATGTTCTTCTCCACGGTATGTATACAGCGGCACCTCTGCTTCTCTGTGTTCTTACCGCAGGGTGGGGAGAGGCTCCACGTTTCCACCACATTCTCTCGGTTTGAGGATGACTGGACCTTCACTATGTCTCCTAGAGCAATGCCCTGCCCGCCCCCAATAACATGTAGGAAGTGACTGCTTTGTCAGGCAGCTTGTGGGATAAATGGCCAAAGCTGCTTCCAAGTCAGCCTCACAGGTGTGGAGCGTCCCAGCCCATGTGGAGGGAGAAGAGATATTGACTGAATACACGGAATGCAATGTGGGATTGGGTGTTCACTGTTTCTCTGTAAGCCAGCACAGTGTCTAACTGTCACAGGGTCTCTCCATGGAGTCTTCACTGTCTCTGTGGGAGGCTCCCCTGCTCAGCAATCTCCATGTTCTCGTCCCAGCTGCCTCACTCTCTCTCATCGTTTGTGAAGTAGAGTTCTAACCTACAGACAAGGTGGGCCTAAAACTCTCCATGTAGTCCAGGCTGGCATTAACCTCTAAGTACTCCTGCCTCAAACCTGACATGCTCTGTGGTTTCTGTCTGTAGCATGCTCATTTTTATGACATGAAAGCATGTCCCCCGTTCAGTCAACATGGCCTTTTTGGTTTCTGTGAGAACTTTTGGAAGGCAAGGAATCAAAAATCTGTTTTAGAGTCTAGAGAAACTTTGTCCTGAGGCATCATGGAAGATATCAATGTGATATAGCTCCCAGCTCAAAGGAATACATTCTGATGTAGATCTATAGGCTTTGTTTGCGTTGAAACAAGGTATCACTGTGTGTACCTGGCTGGTCTGGAAGTCTTTGCATAGGCCAGGCTGGCCTCAGACTCACAGAGCTCTTCCTGCTTTTCCCTCCAAGTGTGAGATTAAATGTGTGCACCACACCCAGCTAGATTTACAGTTTTTAAGTCTCCCTGTTCCCATTATGGAATCTTCACAGTTCCGTCTCTGAGTTTTCCAGCTTCTCTGTAGCCAGAAAGGTCCGTATTACCTTCACAAGCCTCTCTGACAGGAAAGGTGGAAGTACATCTCCTCGTGTGACTTAGCTCCAAACAGGTTTGCTCCCTGCCGAGACCTGGTGTCTGTAGATTCTGTCATCTCACCTGTAGGTCCTTGGTAAACTGTGGCACACAATGCCTACCTGTGAGCGCTGCAGAAATCTTAAATGGACTTTGATTCTCTGTGTTTTGGCAAGAAGAATATCACACAAGACCATATCCATGGGATAGCTCAGCGAGGAAAAGCACTTGCCACTACACCTGACAACCTGAGCTCAACCCCTGTGACCTATATAGAGGAGGGACAGAGTGGCAGCCTCAGCTTGTCCTTTGAAGTGCAAACACATGCACATACACACATACACACACTATTATACTATAAAATGCAATAATAAGATGAGTATCACAAAAGTCAATATGTGCTTCCCTGAGTCCCAGGTTGTAGAAATTGTATTGGTAGTCTAGGAGAAAGTAGGGGGGGTTATATGTCCAAGTGAGGATTGTGGGGACTTCTGGGTACTCAGCTACAGAGAAGGCAGAGAAGGCTGTAGCCATGCTACCAGATGGGACCAATGCACCCCAGTTTAGCTGGCTCCCTTTCAGGCCTGGTCTGAGAGTCTCTTTCTATTTTTGTATTAGATTCTGTTCCTTCTTGTTACCAGGTGCGCTGTCTACTGTTACTCACAGAGCCCCCCCACTCCCCACCAACAGCTGTTCTGCCAGCCCACTCTTGGCCTCATGGAGATCTAAAGTGACTCAGAATTAGTAAGAACACTTTACTACAGCAGGAACTGTACAGAACTGAACAGAACATCCATTCTGTCCTAGAATATTCTAGCCCAGATGCCTCTTTGTTATCTAGATACGGTACTAACCTGAAAAGGGACCAAGGAGGAACTGGAGGAAACTCACTCCCTCACCCTGCACGAAGAAACCCCACTCCCCTTTAAAAGATCTATTGTTTTTACTTGGTGTGCATGAATTTTGTGCACCCCATCCATGTGTGCAGTGCCCACAGAGGCCAATGGGTCTTCTAGGACTGGAGTTACAGGAGGTTTTGAGCCATAGTGTGACTGCTGGGAACTGAACTGGGGGCTTTTGCAAGACAGCCTGTGCTCTTAACTGCCAAACTCTGTCTAGCCTTAACCGTTCTTTTTTTTTGGTGGGGGGTGTTTCGAGACAGGGTTTTTCTGTAGCTTTGGAGCCTTTCCTGGAACTAGCTCTTGTAGACCGGGTTGGCCTCAGACTACTGGGATTAAAGGCATGTGCCACTACCACCCAGCCCCCTCTATCTTTAAAAAAAAAAAAAGGACAGGAGTGTGAGAAAGAGCTGATGGTTTTAAGTCTGCTACTGAAAGTCCTGCTCTAACTGTTCTTTTCCACGTGTTCAAAACAGAACTAGCACACCTTTAATCCCAGCACTCGGGAGGCAGAGGTGGATCTTGGTGAGTTTGAGGTCAGCCTGGTCTACAAGAGCCTAGTTCCAGGACAGGCTCCAAAGCTACAGAGAAACCCTGTCTCAGAAAAAAACCAAAAAACCCCATAGAACTAGTATCCAGTTTTCTGGACACAGGGTTCCTATTGTCTTTTCTTTTTCCTTCTTAGTTTAGACACAGACATGCCTGTTTAAGGACTTGTTGGTTAATTTGTAGTTGACATACAAGGATAGTAGATGAGTGTCCTCTTCCTTGTCTTAACATAGGATAGTTTACCTCTGGGAGTGGTGCTTATCTGGGGTACAGGAGCAGTCAGCAAGACTATAATCCAGGTGTTTATAGATATAAAATATATTTTTGAGAAATATGCCAAAAACCTAGCACTTGGTTCTCTGTGTAGCCAAACATTCCAGATAATGAGGACAGAAACTGACAGCTATTGAATGTACTGTGTAACATCGCTTATCAGTTCTCATGATTGCACAAGATAATAGGTGGCCGTGGCCGTGAAGAGTGACTCTGTGGCCCTGGGACAGCATGGCACTCACGCTAAGATACCATATGGTGAAGGGACATGGCCCTGCTCTCCAAATCATGAAGAATTAACATCTGAATATGGATTCATAGGACATTACTTGTCTCCTGAGCATCTCTTCCCGACCCATCCTGGACAGGATCTGACTGCTGCTCAGGCTGGCCTAGAACCTACTATGCAGCTCAGGTTGATCTCGTCCTGAGTGCTGGGATTCCATGTGGCTATCTGGCTATTCTCCTCTTTAGTGTCAGATGTAAGAAGCCACTAAATAATGTAGCAGACATCGGTTTCTGATTTGCATTTACTTCTCAAGATTAAGTTTACATTCCAGGCTTAATCAGCGTCTTACACTTGCCTTTGAAGCACACAGAAAGGAGGAGGGGCCTGTGATGACTCCTCACACAAGGAGTGGGGGACCAGTGTCTGAGCTGCCAGATACGCTTGGCTGTAAAGCAGACCAGACCTCACTGCTATTTTTCTCAAGAATAAGTGAATCAGGGCTGGAGAGATGGCTCGGTGGTTAAGAGCACTGGCTGCTCTTGTAGAGGATTGGGGTTTGATTCCTAGCACCCACATGGTGGCTAACAACTGTCTGTAACTCCAGTTCCAGTGGATTCTATGCCCTCTTCTTGTGCCTTCATGGGCACTGTGTACATATGGTACACAGACATACATGCAGGCAAAACACCCATACATATAAATCTTAAAAAAAGAATGAAGGAGTCAGGCATTTCCTGGTATTGTTCACCTGTGACCTCTGACCTCTATTTCTCTGACAGAGGAGTAACCCCCATCAGGTCTTTCTTTGGTTTCACAGCCCTGGACTTGTGGCCTTAAGGCCTTTTAACACCCGCACTTTCCTTTTGCAGTTCTATCATGCCTGTGACCAGCCAGGCATTGTGGTTTTCTGCATCATGGACTACGATGTGCTTCAGTTCTGTGACTTCCTGGGCTCCTTAATGTCGGTTTGGGTCACCGTCATTGCCATGGCTCGTTTGCAGCCCGTGATCAAGCAGGTCAGTGCAAAGTGGATCCTGGGAGACAGCCATAGCTAACCTCTATTTAGAATCCACTCATGCCCCCACATCCTGGCCCAATCCTGGAGTCCTGTCTCTGTAGGTGTTGTATTTGCTGGGGGCTATGCTGCTGTCTATGGCTCTGCAGCTTGACCGGCATGGACTCTGGAACCTGCTTGGACCCAGTCTCTTCGCCCTTGGGATCTTGGCTACAGCTTGGGTAAGAGTGGAGAGGCCTGTGAAGGGCAAAGGAGGGAGCAGGAGTGGATACAGGGCACTGGCCATCTGGTCCCCAGTTTAAGGTAGCCTTGCTTTCTATTACCATCACCTGCTGTTCACAGTGGCCACTCAAGTCTTGGCAGGTGCCTTTAGGTCACACCTAGGGCTGAGGGGAAGTCTGAACTGTCTCTGGCCTCATACTCTAGAGCCTTGTATTCTAGGGCTTCGTATTCCTGAATCCCACTTCTCTGCTTCCCCCAGACAGTTCGCAGCGTCCGGCGCCGGCACTGTTATCCGCCAACATGGCGCCGCTGGCTCTTCTACCTGTGCCCGGGCAGCCTTATTGCAGGCAGTGCCGTCCTTCTGTATGCTTTCGTGGAGACCCGGGACAACTACTTCTACATTCATAGCATTTGGCATATGCTCATTGCTGGCAGCGTAGGCTTCTTGCTACCTCCTCGTGCCAAGACTGACTGCCGGGTCCCATCTGGAACTCGGGCCCGGGGCTGTGGTTACCAGCTGTGCATCAATGAACAGGAAGAACTGGGCCTTGTGGGCCCTGGAGGGGCCACTGTCAGCAGCATCTGTGCCAGCTGAGAGGGGCTTTGGGCCAGGCTCCTAGGGGTTATGAACCCTGCCTAGGGTTCCTCCTGGGGCTGTGGAGCCCTTCTAGGAACAAGGGACAAGTTGTGTTTCTTAGAGACGCACAGTCTTTCTCAAGGATGACTGTTTTCAGGGACCAGGAGGCCTTCCCAAGACATGGAGAATTTCCTAAGAGCCCGGAGTCCTCCTGTTCTTCTGGAGTCCTTCTTAAGGATGAGCTATGCAGGACACAGCCCCTCAGGACCTAGGGGTGCGGAGCCCTTCCCAGGGATAGGAAGAGCTCCTACAGACATGAGATACTTCTCAAGGAGACAAATTGTCATCAGGAATGAATCATCAGTACAGAGGGAAAAAGGAGTCCATCTTGGAGAAACACATCACCAGATTTTCCCAGAGGCTCTGCAACACTGGCCACATCTGGACTGTGCTGTGCTGGGCAGAGGGCTGGGAGAGACAGCTGGGGCGGGGCTAGGCAGCTGGGGTCCTGATTTGATGCAGGTGGAGTCTGGTTTGTCTCCAATGAAGTCCGTACTGATTCTGTGCTGCCTTTCTTTACCCTCCTGGGGCCAGGGTGTGGGGAGATGGAGGGAAAGGGACACTGAGGAAATCGTGTGACAGGACCTTCCTGAAAAAGATGCTGGAAGCTACTGTCTGTGACGTCTGCCCTATGGCTTGCACACCCACATCTCTCTCATCTGGTTCCTGTGTTTAATTCCAAAACTCCCTGCTGTCCATTTCCTGGTTGTTGTGGACCCTAATCTGTGGCAGTGAAGAGGGGAGTGCGCATGCGTGTGTGCGTGTGCTTGCTGTGTGTGTGCAGAGATGAATTCATAAGACAGGCTTCCCCACGACGCCTACACCCACAGAGAAGGAAGCTAAGTGCCAGGAAACTGGAGTAACAGGTACAAATTTCAGGTGTACAAGGCACTATAAGAATGGAACTACTATTTTAAGCTTCCATTTTTTCTTGCATGCCAGAAATAATCTTGTATGAATTTAGATTTCTTTTTTTAGTGTGTGTGTGTGTGTGTGTGTGTGTGTGTGCGCGCGCGTGTTTCCGCACGCACGTTCGTGTGTTGCTGTGTATATAGTTTGTTCTGGTCTGGATATCATGGTCCTCGGGGTCCTGGAATTACAGACATGGACATCATGCCTGGCAGCTGAACTCTTTCTTCCCCCATGGGCTCATAACTGAGTTTTGAGGATTTTGTCTTATGCTAAAATACTAGAAGAATTCTTTCTGGTCCCCAGTGTCTCTACTTCATCCATTTTCTGAGAGCTCTGTCATCCCAACTGGTTCCCAGTCAGCAGTCAGACAGACTGCTAAATACTGAGCCATTTTATTTTTTGTTCTGTCTGTGTATCTCCGAGTGTCTGCCCCCAAGTTGTGTGCCACGTGAGGTGTTTCTACTGGGCTACCCAGACACAACATGAAGCCAGTTCTCTCCCGGGGTCCTATGCAGGGTTTTACCTGATAGGGCAGAAGATGAGTTGTTTTCCCTGTAGATGAAGCCGGATTCTTCAGGGAATCTGGGACAGCGCTCATACTTCCCTCCTCTCACCCCTCCCTCTTATCAATCTGGAGGAGACAACCTCACATTTCGACAGAATCTTTTCTCTGTGCCTTAATCCTTTCTATTCTCTCCACAGCCTAGGCCTTTGAAGCTCAGAGCCTGGGAAATACCACTTTATTCTTTACTCTCAGCAATCAGATCACTTCCCTGAGGCACCGGGTAAAGAATAAAGTAGCTGACTGAGTGGCAAGGAGTGAAGGTGGACGGGCCTGGTGTTGGCTCCTGTATCAGAAGTGCTGTTCTTGGGCCAGGTGTGGGGTGCACACCTTTATCCCAGCACTCTAGGGGTAGGAGCTGGCGAATTGACGTGAGTTCAAGCCAGCCAAATTTACATAGGCCCTCTCTTAAATAAAATAAAAATGGTTGGAGAAATGGCTCAGTGGTTAAGAGCATTGCTCTTCCAGAGGACTGGAGTTAAATTCCCTGTACCCAGTTACAGGATAAGATGCCTGTAACTAAAGCTCCAGGGACACATCACCTCTGGACCCCATAGGGACTTCTCCATACAAGTACACACACAGACACACATACACCTGACTAAAAATAATAAACTTTTTTTAAAAAGAAGAAACGCTATTCCTTACCTTATCTCTGACTGTACATACCGTCCTGAACACACCTGAACCTGGATGATGAAAGAAGCTAAGCAGGGCTGGCCTCATTAGTGTTGGATGGGAGATCAACTGTTCTCACCTGAGATAGGTAGGTTAGGCCGTGAGGACAGTTGACCCAAATAGCCAGGAATCAGGACTGACTCAGCCAGAGTGTAGAAGGCAATGAATGGGGAAGTGAGTGGGGTTGCCACATTGCTAAGCTGTGGGGAAAGTTTCTCTGTGGTTATGAGTGCCCATCTTTGATTCCTTTCCCAAGACATTCATTCTGTCTGGTCCCCAGTCACTAAAGTACTTAGGACACTTAACATAGTGCCCAACCTGTTGCACATATGACAGACAGTGGTCACGGCGTGTTTGGAAAGGGTTTCGATGATGGGAGTGGGAGAGGCAGGAAAGACTGGTGTTTAGGAGCTGTGAAGAGTGAAGTGGGCCTGGAGAGGTGTGTGTGCTGGGTTAATGAAGGCAAGCAGCTGAAAATGCTTTGGACAGATGGGTACTGTGGGCTTTACAGGGAAAGGGGAATGAGGAGCCACTGGAAACATTTAAGCAGGAGAATGGGCAAACCGTTTTGATGGCTGGGTGAAGGGTGTGTCTGGGGGAAGAGCACAGTGTCAAAGCTGCCACACTAACTGAAATGGAAACAGTGAGGGCTTCTTTACATGGTACCCATAGGAGGATGAGATTGGCTCAATAGTTCCAGGAGGCAGACTTCAGGGCACCTAGTGGCACATGTGATGTGGGGGGTATGAAAACCCAGGAGGGCCTCTCTTTTTTTGGCTTGGGTGATTGTGCCATCCCTTGATCGTGACGACACACTTGTGATTGGGGAGGATGGGTAGTTTGGGACATTTTGGATTTGAGGTGTTTGTTGGATTCCCAGGGGAACCAGCAATAGACAGGACTGGACCCTGAGTTGTCTGCTGACTTGTATCATTGTGAGAATCTAAGACCCAGCAAGCCTAGCCTGCCTTGGACACATGGCTGTGGTCAGCAGTTGTTACTGCTTCCTCGCATTTATCTGTACATGCAACCACACCAAGTTCACTGCTTGGAGCATGCCTAGAAACATGGGCTCAATTGCACCTGTTGGTGATTTGAGAACTTCCATGTGACAATTTAGTTTCATTGTCATGTAAGGAAAGCCCCATTAGAGCCATGGGGATGAGTTGGTGGCACCTTGCCCCAAAGGAGCTCTCACGTCGGTAAGGATGGGATTGATCCTAGGGAAGGGTCCCAACAAAGTGCCGTAGGATGAAGAAGACAGCCTCCAAATGCATCGAGAGAACCTATGAAAGAGGTGTGATTCCTGAATAGCATGAGGAGAGGATTGTGGGGTCGGTAAGATGACATCGTGAGAGGCTGACCCATGTTGGGGGGTCATGCTGTGTGTGGGCCAGATTCCTAAGGGCCTTGAGGATTGAGCCAAGAACTTTAGACTCAATACTGTGTCCGTGGGATGCCATGAAAGGTGATGTGAGGAGTGTATTGTAGAGATTGTGAGTAGTTAACATACTTAACCCCAGAGAGTGCTAAATTGTATCAATGATGCATTAAGGAATGGAAGCAAAACACTTTCACTTGACTTAAAATTGTTCTTATTTTTTGAGATAGGGTCTCTCTGTGAGCCCTGGCTAGCCTGGAACTCACTCTATAGACCAGGATGACCTCAAACCCATGAAGATCTGCCTGCCTCTTCCTCCCCAGTGCTGGTATTGAAGGGATGTATATACCATGCTCTATTCTCTTGGATTAGTTTGACCCATAATGAGCCAAAATTTGAAATCTTCACTCGTCTGTCTGTAGTTTGTAGTTGGTCTATCTATAGTCTGTCGTGTGTGTGTGTGTGTGTGTGTGTGTGTGTGTGTGTGTGTGATGTCCTTGTTTCCTGTTTGTTCTATCTCTCAATGTGCTTGTCCCTCTTTCTGTCTGGTCTCTGACTGTCCTGTGTCTATCTCTAAAAACTGACTTTGAACTATATTTTATACAATAGCAAAGACAGTATAGCATTCAGCAAAAATGAGGGATTTTTACCAAAATCTTAAACAGGGTTTTAAAAAGGAACTAATTTTACTGCTCCCAACTGACCCAGTAGAGTAAATGAAACCACACTAGAGCTAGCCACCTTTAGCTACATGTTGCTCTCAGTATTTATGGTGGTCTTCTGTCTTAAAGTTGCTTCCAATGTGTTAGCTGTTTGCAGAAAATGATCACAACAACATACGTTATTATGGGTCAAGGGCATGACCAGTACCTACCAAGAGCAAAGCTATGGATTAGCTTAGGTCGAGAAGCTGATTGCATGTGAAATCCAAGTCCTATTAAGAATGATTTACCTTGTCCTCTAAAAGGCAGGTTAACTTTTTTTTCAGAGACAGGGATTCTCTGTAGCTTTGGAGCCTGCTCTGGAACTTGTTCTGTAGACGAGGCTGGCCTTGAACTCACAGGGATTCACCTGTGTCTGCCTCCTGAGTTCTGAGATTAAAGGCATGAACCGCCACTGCCCAGCATACTTAATGCAATCTTTTTTTTTTTTAAGATTTATTATATAAACAGTGTTTGGCCTGCATGGCAGAAGAGGGCACTAAATCACATTATAGATGACTGTGAGCCACCACGTGGTTGCTGGGAATTGAACTCAGGACCTCTGGAAGAGTAGCCAGTGCTCTTAATGTCTGAGCCACCTCTTCAGCCCAGCAGGTTAAACTTAAAAAAGCCAAGTAGGACAGCAGGTTAAGTCCCCGGTCTTAAATAATCTCAAGGGATAGTACTTACGTTACTAGAGGCCTGCCAACAGTTCAGCCTTTGGAGTTCGAGATATGTTTGTACAATTGTTATCAGTTAAGATTAGACTTCCACAATCATAGCAGTAGTTAAAGAGACCTATCGAGTTGGATCTCTGCATTTGGCACTGGGCCTGAAGCTTTTACAGGCCCTTTGGACTGGCAGTTATGGGGATGAGGGAAGGAGAGTAAAGGTGGGTTAGAGCTGAGGAGACAAATGAAAACTGTGTCCAGCTCAGTCTTAATGACACACACGGCCTGGAGGAGAAGCGGGCACCTTTTGGCACATAGCCGCACTTGGTCCAGCCTGAGAACAGCTCAAGGAGGGGATCTGACTAGAACTGGACGGACCACAAACCATGGGATTCAGCATATTAGTGATGGGAGTGCTCCTGCAGGGCTGGGTGGTGCTCCCTTTGGCTTCCACATTTCTGTATATGTCCCATGGGCAAGTCTAACCAAACCCATATGAAAAGGAAATTCTGGAAAGCACAGTGTTAGCCTCGTTTGGCTATCCTGGCACAAAGCTGTTGTGAGTAAGCTAACCAGAGCTTTGCTGGGGTGATGAACCCAGTATGCGTCTGTGAAGAGAGATCAGGGCAGAGGAAACCAAGTCTGACTTCCTCTGGGGCTGACTCTCTGAGTCCTCTTTTCTCTTCCAGGCGTGTGCCAGGCTGGGCTTCTCCCCATATGTTCGATGTGGCCACCTGTGGGCCAGTGAGATGAAAGGTGGGAGCAGCCTGTGCCACTTCTCAGTGGAAGCTGTGAGAGCCCAGGCAGGCTGGTCATTGTACTCAGCTGCGTTCTGGATTGAGCTGTGGTCTTAAGTCTCAGGAGGGTGATGTGGAACAGAACCCTAGCCAAGCTTAGTAGACCCAAAGCGTGAGTGAGAAACAAACCTTTATGGTTTTTAAGCCACTGAAACATTGACGCTGTCGCCCCAGGAGAATGTAGCCTCTGCTGGTTGACAAAGATGGAGGCTAGGAGTTAAAAGTGGGACATTTTCCTGGTGAGGAGACCTCCCTGCAGCAGGCTGGTCACAGCTGCTTTCACTTCCGTGTTCCTCAGACTGTAGATGAAGGGATTTAGTGAGGGTGCCACAATCCCATAGAATAGTGTGATAATCTTATCCACGCTGGGGTCTTTGGCTTTGGGCTTCAGATACATAAAGGAGATGGTCCCATAGAAAATCACCACCACTGCAAGGTGGGCAGAGCAGGTGGAGAAGGCTTTGGTCCGGCCTGCAGCAGAGGGTACCCTAAAGATGGCAGCCAGGATGAACGTGTAAGAGAGGCATATGAGCAGGAGTGGGGCCATGGTCAGGACAGTTGTAGCCACCGTTAATATCAGTGCATTGAGGGGGATGTCCCCACAGACCAGTTTCAGCACGGCCAGGATCTCACAGAAGAAATGGTTAATGACATTATGGCCACAGAAGGGGAGGCACCAGACAAGGATGGACTGCAGCAGCGAGTTGGCAAAGCCCGTCCCCCAGCTTAGCGCTGCCATCTGCATGCAGAGCTACCGGTTCATGAGTTCTGAGTACCGAAGTGGCTGGCAGATAGCCACATACCGGTCATACGCCATCACGGCCAGAAGCAGGCACTCCGTAGCACCCAGTGCCAGGGTCATGTACATCTGCAGGGCACAGCTGGGGAAGGAGATGGTCCTTTGGATGTCCAGGAAGTTGAGCAGCATTAGAGGTATGAAGGAAGAGGTCCCGCAGATGTCTATGAGAGAGAGGTTGCTGAGAAAGAAGTACATGGGGTTGTGCAGGTGGGGGTTCAGCCCAATCAGCCCCACAAGGAGGGCATTCCCCACTAGCGTGGCGCAGTAGATGCCCAGACAAAGCACAAAGAGGATTATCTCTAGGCTGTGGTGCTCGCCGAGTCCCAGCAGGACATACTCGGTCACAGCTGTGTGGTTTGCCCATCCCATCTCCTTCCTCCTCTTGCCGCCTGGACCACAGTAGCTCTGGCTGCCTGGGACCTGCAGCAGGTCAGCCTCTCTCCAGAACTGAGTTCCACCAGCTGTAGAGCGAGAGACCTGGACTTTAGATCTGCAGCTGGTTCTCTCAGCCACAGTGCTGCCGACATAGCTGAGGGGGAGAATGTGGCACCCTCGGGCCCCCTAAAC